GACCTAAATCTAATCTAATTAGTTTATTGTTTCTGGACAGTAGTAGCTTTTCTGTGTGATGAAATTTTACATTGTGATAAAAGACATAGGTTCAAAAACTCTGTATCTTAAATAAAAGAAGAGTGGCCCATGGTACACAGGAAAATGTCGTTTTAATTGTTTATGTTCCATCTCTCTTTAAATGTATTTCATTCATTTCCGCAACACCATATAGTTAGGTAATGAATTCAGTTACATAAAGAATTTTCTCTAATAGAGCGATGGAAAGTGTGACCACAAAGACGCATATCAATATTTAGATTGGAAATCTTGCTTAGGTCAACGACGTATAACGTCTACAATGCCTATATAGTAATAAGATCACCACGTTTAAGTCTAGTCACATTTTTTTAAAATATATGGTCTTTCTTAATATGCAGGTTTGACGATACTATGTTTTGTTACAGAACATTAAACTGATGCATCAATAAGATTATAATCAAGCATCGATTTTGGAAACGAAACTGCTGAACCATATTCTAATATGGGAAGAATACAAGTATTAAACAAAGAGGCAGATGCTTCATAATTTGGTTTGAAAAACACTATTTTAGGCATGAGATACGAGAGATCGGAAGAGAGGAAGGTGTCTTAGTCCTTGTAAACTTCCACAACAGCAAGCGATGTCTGGCATAGAATAGTTCACACCAGAGTTATTTTTTCCAATATGCAAGGCAAATTTATTTATTGAAATTAATGAGAATCAACCAGTCTTCAACTGATTGGGCAATTCGTGTAAGATCAAATTGCATTTGATGATAGTCCGAAAGGATTGCTATAAATATTGGTATCATGACATAGAGAAAATATTTGGAAAAAGCATAGTAGGTAATTCAAGTGTATAAATCTGGTATAATAGGGGTCCTCGAAGAGATCCTCGTGAAACATCACGTCTAACACTTAAATTCTGAAAAGGTGCTACCTACCTAAATTTATGGTTACTTAAGTAAGACAATCGATATAATTGAGATCAAGGGACTCCCTTTTATCAATCACTAGAGTTCAGATATTTAAGCAGAGCAAAAGATTAGTAGTTACAGACCCACCGTGGAAGAAACCTATGGTTTCTTTGCTGATTTCCACACTTGTAAATAAACTGATATTGCTCACGCTGTTGTCGTATTGTAACAACTATTTTTTTATTATCATGAGGATTTTAACAGACATGATTGAGGAGGAATCTTCTACTTCAAGAGCTTGCGTACAATGTAACACCATTTTATTTTTTACCTCCTTACCTACCTTACAGCAGTTATTTCTCCATACTGTTTTATTGTAGAAGATAAATATCTTTTTAATGACGGCAATTTTTTTATTATTTGCTTCCTTTTTCTTCTTATTAGGAGCGTTTATTTGTTTGTAGTAGGTGGTTCTCGGCTTGGCGCCAAACGTAAACTAAACATGTTCGACGCGTGTGAAATTTGGTCCGTCTGCGTATAATTGGAAACTATAATTAACATACGCGATTGAATCACATGCGGGGCATATTGTTACACAATCTATTTTTAGGGTGGTGGCACGTGCTCAATACGTCCAAACACCCAACGGCTTTCATGTTACCCTGCTAAAATGCGTCGATTTCCGCGGCGTGCGAATCTTTGACGACGACGCGTCGCGACGTCGATTCGGCGGGTCCGCCACCTAAATTAGACGGACGCGGAATCAGTTTCGGGAAACAGTAACTGGCAATATGGACGTGGGCAGGTACAGAATGAAAATCATATCAATATTGTATCACAAAACGCGATGTGATCGGAAAAGTAAGTAATTGCATTGTGTATAATTTTATCTAAATTGACGACATGTATGTCACAGATGCCGTAAAATTACTAACACTGCAAATATAGAACTAGATAAAATCAATTGAATTTACGTTATGCTGATGAAAATTTTGATGTTAATGACATGAAACTGGAGAAAATAATGTACCATTTGTCAAAAGTAGCATTCAATAAATCTAACTGTTTAATTAATATAAGAAATTGATACTTTAAATAAGTATCGGTGACTTATTGCTTTGTTAATTGATTCAGAAGACATTGATGGCCATGGACGATTACAGGATAGACACCAGTGGTTTTGAAGTTTAAGAAATTTTAAATCTTTGCTTTGGAAAATTACAGTTCCATTTCAAATGGATCCTCAAAAGTCTTCAACCTTTGTAATACATATTTGGAAAGGTATAATCAGATGCAGCTCTTTACATTACACCATATCTCTCTTTATTTCCAATTGTTGTTGAATTACTAGACATTCCTCTATAGTCAATTTTCGTAAGCAACATCGGTAAGATCATCGATAAAACAGATGTTTACATTCCTTTAAAGAAGGCAAATCATTAATGAATAATAAGAATAACAATGACGGGAGGTTAATTCTCTGAGAGACACCAGATGTGGCTAAAAAAATACTCAAGCCGATGTTTCTTTCTTAATAATTACACGGTTCAAAGCTTGTCTTATGTCCATCATTTATATTGGTCATGAACTGAGTAAGGCAATCATTTTATTTTCTCCTTGAAGCCATAATATAAAACTGTTGCAGCATACAATGACATCTCAAAGAGCTTAGCAAAATTGCATATTATGGTTGTTATCAGTACTGGTTCCAAAACTACATGTTACTACAAAAATATAATTATTTCCAATATTAAAACAAGTAAGTAAAATAATTTTCGTTTTCTTTTCTTACTTCATCAATATCCAGTTTTGTTTTAATATTTCGTGTCGTAAAAGGCCATTTTAAATGCAGCTAAGTTCACATATAAGTTTGTCATCAAAATACAACTACATTTTTCACTTTAATCAACAGAAAATTGAGAAAATAATACAGTGGTGTTAAATCCAGCGATCTTGCCGGTCATTCTGTAGGTTCGCGTTTACCAATCCGTCAATTAGGAAAGATTTTCTCGAGATATTCCCAGATTCAACGAGCATAATGAGGAGAACATCTTATAATCAAATTCTGGAATCGGGATCTTTACTTATATCCGAGAAAATCCAGGTACTATTCGGCACCCATTATTCCTTCAAAGAAATTCCATCCAACAATTTCATTACTCACTATCCCAACCTTTTGAAGATGTTTCGGTATATCCTCAAATGCGGATTATCAACTGCTCAATAATGGCAATTTGCTTATTGATTTAAACAAAATGTTGCCTCATCAGAAAAGGTAATATTCCTAAGGAATTAAGGATTTACATTGAAGAGTTCCATGATTGTCCCATAAGTTCTTCCACCAAGTGCACTCTATATGCGTGAAATTTTAATTTAAGAAAAATAAAACTGCATTTTCTTTACATACTAAGTTGTGAAACGAGACATCCAATTGTCCGTCTTCATTGAAAGCGGATGGACGTTCAATCTTGGGTTAATTTTGTACTTGTCCTAGATCGCAAAATTTGTTCTTACTTCGACTTACCGTTGATTGAAATATTGGTTTGGGTAAATTTCAGTGAATCATGCGTTCCACTTCTGTCTCTAAATCCAATCATCATTAAAAGTTCGATTCTTTCGGCTTCGGTAAGATTAATTTTTGCTATCTTATTTTAATCATCATCATCATCAAAGAAGTACCACACACTTCACTAAATTGTGTTCGATATTTAAGTATAAACAATTTACAATATCTATATCAGTGCCTGCTCGAATATTGACAGTATCATTTGAATACATTATACCGGGTGTTAATGAACTTGTCATAAATTTAAAGGGGTTGAAAAAGGAGCAAAAACTGAGTAAAGAACTATTGTGACCTATTTTATGATAAATATAATTAATATCAAGTTACATGAAGCGATTGCTAGGGACTGAACTGTAAATATTAAGAGATATGTGACATATTTTTGAAAACATTCAAGATTGTACAACTGGAAATAAATTGTTATAATGAATCCGATTTCCTTCAAATTTCAATTTGTTCCTGGAGCTACCATTACAATCTGAAAACGTATAACTGTTAATCAAACTGTTGTACACAAATTATATCTAATTCAGCATCGCATCACGAGCTTGGAACATCTGTTTGTTATATACACTACGTGTTATATGATCTAACCCCATTAGTTCTGTCACCACACCCACTTATTGTACATGTATCAAGGGGGTGACAGGAGGCACGTGCTTCCCAATTCAACGTCTGATTCCCTGGTACAGCGCGTCGCTGTATTATCTGAAAACTCGGCGCCGCGACGCTCGCCAAAGTGCGCCGCTATCGCGGATGTTTCCAGTTCCACAGACAGGTGCTCCAATCAATAATCTACTTGTTTTAATGTATGCCGAAAGTGTAGCTACTGTAAATCGAGGTTGTATCGAGGACACTGGGATATGGAAAACACAGAATAAAAAAATAAACTAAAAACTAAAATCGTTAATACCTGCTATGATAATCTTGTTAAATATATTATCTAGAAGATTTATCTTCTCTAAAAATGCAAAAAATAGGAATATGTGAGAATATTTGATTGTGTTTTACCATTTACTACATAGTTTATTATTTTTTTGAAGTAACACTAAAAAACACTTTATAATAGGCTCTTTACTTCCATACCAGGAAGGGCGGAAAAATTTATAATTAGATAGTTTAATTTTAAGTAGGTACTATTAAAATATAGAGAAAATGTGTTCAACATAATTTTTTTGTAGTGAAAGTCCATTCTTCTGCTTTTGTCCAAAAGAACAAAATTTTACACCACACCTGAACAAATTACGTTTAATAAGAAAAAAACCGTGAATAGCTAGTATTTGATTAAGGTCGGACTAAACAGAGCGCAATCTGCGCTACTCCCACTTTATCTTTTACTGTTGCGCTACGGTAACCATGACCACCGCTGTAAACACTTTACATATGTAGGAGCGAGCTACGCGGATCTCGCGTACATAGAGTTTTTCAAAAAAATTTTGCCAGTCGAGTTAAATTGACTGCACATTACAAATTTAACATTTCCTTTTAATATTTAGGTCAATGGTTTTTCCGATACATATATCCTAATACCCTTGGAAAATGTACATGAAAGTCAAAAGAGGGGGTTACAACCGAATAAATTAATTGACGATGAGAGGGTGAGTATTGTGATTTCTATTATTTTCTTCAATAGTTACTCTTTACCATCCCTTGCTAAGTTCTTGATTTCCCTTTTTATGTTTCAGTTTAAGCTTTATTGATGTTTTCCCTTTTTTTATCTTCATTGTTTTCTTATATTTTTATGGCGAAACGATTTTGACATTGCAAGTAGTCGTCTTATTGATTTTAAGGTGCTTTGGGCGGAAGAACAGCATACCAAGGTACGACAAAAAAGAGATTTTACCACGATAGACCCCTCGGATATCCCTAAACTCAGAGTCAAAAGGTATGAAACAATAAAAAAGGTCTTTAAGAGACCTGTGATACCTCCAGCTGTTGACAAAACTTTCAACGACGAACTTTGGAGCCAGCAGTGGTACTTGGTAAGAAGTTAATCATCGTGTAGTATTACGTAGCACATAAAATTAATTTTCAGCGTGATACAAGGACTAGATACGACTTACCAAAGCTAGATCTGAACGTTCTCCCTGTGTACAATGCTGGTATAACTGGACAGGGCGTTAGAATCTCAATTTTGGATGATGGGTTAGAATACACTCATGACGACTTAAGAAACAACTACGTGAGTCTTTTTTTTATAAATAAGTTAAATATGTGAAAGAAAATTTACTTTTAGGATCCAGAGATCAGCTGGGACTGCAACGAAGACGATGATGACCCCCTGCCCAGGTATGAAGTGACTAAATCTAACAGCCATGGAACAAGATGCGCTGGCGAAGTTGCCATGTCGGCGAATAATGGGAAATGTGGAGTTGGCATTGCTTTCAACTCTAAAATTGGAGGTACACAGTTATATTTTTATACAGATTTATTTTATGTAAATACTGACTTGCAGCTGTCAAAATGTTGGATGGATTAGTAACTGATAGGATAGAAGGAACAGCTTTAGGGTACGCCCAGCACTTGGTAGACATCTACAGTGCTTCTTGGGGACCCAGTGATGATGGCAAAACTGTGGATGGTCCTGGAAGATTGGCCAAAGAAGCGTTAGAAAGAGGTGTCACTGAAGTAAGATATATCATCCTGAAAATATATCCGCTTTTGTAACAAATTTCTCTAAAAAGGGTCGCGATGGCAAAGGATCAATTTATGTTTGGGCGTCAGGAAATGGTGGGATAAAGAATGACAACTGCAACTGTGATGGTTATTTGGCCAGTCCATACACCATCTCCATAGGCAGTGCCTCCCAAAGAGGAGAGTTTCCATGGTATGGAGAGGCTTGCGCTTCCACGCTAGCTGTGACTTATTCTTCAGGAGCTTACAAAGACCAAATGATTGTAAGGCGCCACATTTTATTCTGTCGATGTAGCAGAACATAAAACTAATTTTGATATTTTCAGGCAACAACTGATTTGAATAACGGCTGCACGATAAAGCATACTGGGACCTCAGCATCGGCACCATTAGCTGCTGGAATCATTGCTTTGGCCCTTGAAGCAAAGTAAGTAGGTATATTTTACATTGCTGATAATAGTATTTGGACTAAAGCCAAGATCTGCCCTATATCCAAGAAAGGCAACAAAAAAATAGATCCACCTTAACCAATCTTGTTAATATCACTGTTCTTATTGCGTATACATTAGATATTTGTGGACGGATAGATGTAGTTTACACAGATCTATCAAAAACCTTTGAGAAATTGGATCAATGGATTCTTCTTCGCAAGTTATCAAATTTTGGTTTGTCGATAAACTTTTTAAATCTAAAAGATCAATAAATGATCATTATCTCGTGGTTTTACATAGACTGATATTGTTATTTCGGAAGTACCATTATATCAGGATCCATTATTTGAATCCAAAAAAATCGGAGAAAGTTTCTTAAATGTCTTGGCGACATAAATTGTCCTGCCATCATTAAGTTCATCCTTTCATTCTCGCTCTAAGTCATTATACGTATGATCTGCCCGTAGTTAGAATTCTCTGTTATGCATTTTTAAATAAACAAAATAAATAAAAACGACAATATGTATTCCTTTACCACTCAGCCCGAATTTAACGTGGAGAGATGTCCAACACCTCATTGTTTGGACATCTGAGCTAGCTCCTGTCGCAGACAACCCAGGATGGCAACAGAACGCAGCTGGACTTTGGTTCAACAACAGATTTGGATTTGGTCTGATGAATGCATTCGGTCTAGTGGGAGCTGCAACCAACTGGACCACTGTGCCAGCAAGAAGGACCTGCGAAATTCAAGCCATTTTCAAGTAACGTTAACCAATCATTGAAATAGTATATTTAGAACTTTCCTCTCATTTAATATCATATTTATGTCAGTATTGTACTAAAAATTTGTGAAGTTGGTGAACTTTTCTTCGGAGTTTATCATTTTTGTAAACTTTTAAGGAAAAAATCCGCCATCTTGACGTTTGGTGAACCAGTGAAAATAGGGATACCTACAAGTGGCTGTAAGGGTACCCAGGATGAAATACGGTATCTGGAACACGTGGAATTAAAGACAAATATCAACTACACGGTGAGAGGAGCTCTTCAGGTGCATTTAACATCTCCATCAGGTAATTCAAAATTAATTTTTGCAAACTGGGAAATAATTTATTTCTGATGGACTGCTCGTGTTCACAATGTAAAACAAAAAAGCCAATTCAGGTATTTCGCTGTCTCTCACGCTACTAAGTGGGTATTTGTGCAAAATTTACACTTATTTTTAACTGTCATCCGATGTTGATTCTACTCGTAATACTGTAATAATTTTAGATATTTGCGTGAACTATGAATTTTATGAACAAAACTGAAAAGAAAGAAAACTAAGGTAATATGTTTGACAAGTTTCTTCAAAACCAAAGCAATCTAAAAATGCTTCGTTATGTATGTATATATTTTAGGGACGGAAGTGCAATTATTAGCTCCAAGAAAGTTGGACGAGAGTGACCAGGGGTTCGTAAATTGGACATTCATGTCGGTAATGACTTGGGGGGAGGTTGCTGAAGGCACTTGGACTTTAACCGTATCAGATGCAGTAAGTAATACTCTATTATCTCCGTTACTTTCGTACTAATAAAAAAATGTATAACCCAATGTTATAGATAATTTACATGATTTCAAAATCGTGCTTAAAAAAAATTGAATGTTACACTTTGGAGGTACAAGCCAAATTCATCATATTTATGACAGAATACTCTATATATTTTTACCTATTTGGATAGAGCACATACACAGTAAAAAAAATGTCACTCAAATTTCACTAAATTTCACTCAATCTCTGTTCACACTCTATTGAGTGAAATTTTCACTCTATTAGTATGAGCACAACTGAGTGAAACTATTTATCAGAATGAGTAAGTTTTACTCAAATCGGAGTTACCGCTAACTATCAATTGAGCGACTTTTGACTCTATTCTGAGTACATAAAATCAATCTAGAGCTGACCTTTTCTCTAATATGATTTAAATTTAACTATTATTGAGGCATTTTTTACTCAGACTTGGTTTTTAATTAACTAAATATTGTGTTAAAAAATAAATGATTAATTAGGATATACAGTCTTGAAATTAATTCACTTTGCGGGGCCTCCTCCTGTCCTGGCTGAGACGCGCAAGCTGAGACCCGCCGCCGCCGGCTAAGTCCTGTTTTCCTGGCGATCGTGCTTTTCTGGAGCATCTAACGGGCCCCTATCAACAGTGGTCGAGATTACAGAAGCAATATACATGTGGCGCCATCTTCACGGCGCCATTCAAATTACTCGAAATTAATATACATTTAAACTCGCTCAGTAATGAGGACATTTACTCTGATTTAGGTACAAGTGCACCAAATACGAGTTTACGTGAAGAATTTATTCAAGGAGTACCTATATTTGAGTGAAAGTACTCAGTTTTAGTTGAAATATAATCACAAATGAGTAAAATGATCAAAATGCCCAATATTGAGTGAAAATGTACTCAATAATTTCACTCATAGTCCTGTCAAATATGTAAAAATATACAGTGTGCTCTCTTTAAAAAAATACGGGTTTATTATCTGAAATCCAAAATTCAATTTACAACAAAGTAAAAAAAAGAAACAAAAATGATTCGTGATTAAATAAACATAGAGTCTGACTTGAAATTAATTAGAAAAGAAATCAATATGATTGCAGAATTCATTGTAGAGTTTCTGAATTACACCTAGAGCAGAATTTTGACTATAATTAGTGAAACTTCATCCTAAAAAGTAAGTTTGTCGAAAGAGTTGTTTCACATTAAAGGCAAGTTTTTCAGTAACAACAACAATGCGTCATAAAACTTTATTGTTGGTCAAGGGACAGAGTTAAAATACTAGGATATAACAAAACATGTCAGTAAAATGTTGTTGTGGAAAAAGATACAGGTGTAAAAATTGCAACTATTTTTATTACAAGTTTTTATTCAAATTGCCTTGTTAGTATCGGTCAAATCTTGCAACTGAATTTTTAAACACTTACCCCCAACCGATTGAGCTGAAATTTTGCATCCACGTTTAGTTTGGATGACAATGCATGGTTAGCTAAGTGACGTCATTCTAAATTCAATATGGCGGATTCCTAAAGATGGCGGACCAGTTATTTTTTTTTGCATCCCCATGATATGGGTATCAAATGAAAGGGTTTGCTGAGAAGAACACGAAAATAAAATGACGTCACACTAAATTCAATATGGCGGATGCCCCAAGATGGCGGACAATTTACAGTTTTCCACTTATTTCTATGCATTTTTTAATTCTGTTGACAAGAGATTTTACCTCAGTCCTTTGGCCCATTATTAATGGTACACCCTCTTCAACTAGACAGAGTACAATTTTTCTATCCAACTTTAAAATTTTCAGGCGGGACCTAGTGACAACTTTGGTAATGTCGGTTCCACGACGCTTATTCTTTACGGAACGAAGCAGCTGCCTCACCATATGAAGGAGGGTCCTAGAAATTACAACCACAACTACAACAGGATACACAACAGGGTCGGCACCTCACATTCTCAGACTGGCTCAAGCGCGTATTATGATGATAATGCACTGGATCACGATGGCTTTGCTAAAAGGGAATTCTCGGATGATGGTTTGGAATATTTCCCTCGAAGCTTTTATTTGTATTGAAAACTTACTTATTGTACATATGTAGGAATTGCGGGAATATAAGTATGAAATAATTTCAGTTTTTTACTTGAACATTTTCAGGGTTGAAAACCTCTTGACGTTCCGAGGAATATACCGGGTGTCCCATTAAGGTCATCGACCGGCTGTATTTCGGAAGCTATTTGTCCTATAGATTTCGGGAAAAAAAATTGATGACTAATATGGCCACTAGAAATTCAATAGAATTATTTTTAGCTTCTAATTTTGGCCGCTAGAGGGCGCATTTCTAAAATTAAAGTAAAAAACTGCTTTATTTTTAAAAAATCAAATGGAACGATAGATTCAACTTAATACTTTCGAGATCTGCTTATTCTTCAAAATTTTTGTTGGAAAAATTTTGTTCCATCTTAACAAATAAAGGAAGGGGGGTGGAAATTATATCCTATGACAAAAAGTAAGGTAACTCTGGATTATGTAAACCGATTTCAATGAAGTTGGGCTTGTTGAAAAGGCAATTGATTGCTTAATCATAACGTTAAATTGAATTTCAATTTAAAAAATAAACAAACCGTCAATTGCCCCTGTTTTCCAAATGAAAGAGTTTTATCGATATTCAAAAAAAAAATCAAATATGCTACCTTTTTTATTTTATGGTGTTTTTACATTTAAAATAATGAAAAAAATGCCGCAAGCCGGAACCTTGTGTCTTCTTTCAAACTGAAGTTATTAACAAAAGTTTAGATAAAATTATATTTTTTGAGGAGTTAAAGAAAAATGCGTTATTTATTGCAACATCCAGTATTTATCTGCATACAAAACCAAGCAAGGTTTTTCGAGAAAAACTTATATAACGCTTATTAAAGTTCTTGAAAAGATCTTTAAATTGAGTGGTGGTAAAAGCATGAAAACTAATGAAGTTACAATCAAAATAAAATGATTGTCTTGATTTTTGAGAAAAAAAAATTGGTATTAAAGTTAATGACTTGACGGAAAAAAAATTAAACGTATTCCTTCTGAAACACTAGATTCTGGGAATTTGAACGATTTTAGAAGCATAAATTTTAAAAAATATTTCATTTACTTTTGAATAAAATTTTTAAATTTTTTAAAAAATCGCCTTTTTTCAAAATATTTCAAAATCTAACAAAGTTATGAAAAAATGATAGAATAAGAAATTGTAGGTTTTTTTTACTGAACAATTTGCTTTTTTTAAATTTTTGTAGGGCAAAATTTGACTGAGTTATGACCGTTAAAAGCTCAAAACTAATCTCCAAGACCGCCTTTCCTAAGCCCTTAGCTTACAAATCTAAAAAACGAAGGGCTCAAAAAAACTGCAAATGGCAGAACAAAGTGCTTTAAATTCCCTACAAAATGGTTTTTTGAGTAAATTTATAACTTTAAAATTACAAAAGTTACGGTAAAGAAATTTATCGCATTTTTCATTTTTCAGGCTAAAGATAGTGATGATAGTGATTAAAATTAAATGATGATAGTGATTAAAATTAAATAGTGATGATAGTGATTAAAATTAAATATTTTATTATATACACATGTAAAAAATAACAGACCATTTTTAAAACATTTTATAATACATCCATTTATACTATATATAATTTTTTTAATTGATATTAATTTAATAAAAAAATATTAAGCATAAATTGAATAAAATAAAAAAATATTTATTGTTTCATCATAGTCACATAAAATTTTTAGGAAAGGGTTAAGTCCTCCATAAGGGGTTTTTGGGTGGCTGAAAAGCTGCAATATATCATAGATCATTTGAAAACCAATAAAAAGTTTATAATTCAACATATTATGCATACCATTAAAACATCTCAATTTTTAAATAATATTTTTTTGTTTATTTTATTATAAGAGATGGTTTTTAAGGGTTGCAACTTTGTAATGAGTCGGAAGCATTCTAATGAATAACAAAAGAAATACAATACATTGTGAATGCACCAAGAGAATATTTTTTTGGCCATGGATTCTTAATGGTTGAAAAGTAATTAAATTTCATAAATTATATTAAAAAAACACGAATGGAACTTTATCCAACATATTTGAACATGAATTGAATCTTTAAAATACGTAAATCTGCTATTTTCGCTTTTTTTTCGTACAAGGGTAGTTTTCACCCCCAAACAGAAAAAACACATCTAGACAATATAACTTTTAAAGTGGGGGGTCAGATGAGCTTGTATGCAAATATTCAGGAAAATACATGCTATCCGAAGAAATTGGAAGCTTTTACCTTATTTTCCCCTTCAGTGACTGAACTATAAGTTGTATCTATCGTTCCATTTGATTTTTTAAAAATAAAACAGTTTTTTACTTACTTTTATTTTAGAAACGCGCCCTCTAGCGGCCAAAATTAGAAGCTAAAAATAATTTTGTTGAATTTCTAGTGGCCATATTAGTCATCAATTTTTTTTCCCCGAAATCTATAGGACAAATAGTTTCCGAGATATAGCCGGTCGATGACCTTAATGAAACACCCAGTAGTGTTCTCTTTTTTAAGACAAGTTTCCCCGATAAGATTCTGTTCACTTCGGCCGAAATGCTGAAGCTTCAGTCAAATTTACAGTATTCAGTGGAAGTAAAATGTATTTTGTGTATATTTTCTAATTTTTTATAGAATATGTATATCAGTTTAGCTATGTAACTCAAGAGTGCATCTAGCGTCAAAATAAACTCCAGTTATCGTATTAGCAATACTTTCGGCATATAAGAGAAGAACAAAGGAAGTCAATGGGACTAAGATTTAGTAATCTCGGTGGATAAATAAGCATCTGCATCTAACACACTTTCGTCATTTTAGGGAATTATATAGAAATAAAATGAACTCATTAAAAAATATTCACTTTAATTTAAAATATAACGACACTTATAATAATTACATAACGATATAAAATGTTAATAAAATACACCATGTGGGTTGAGGTTTATCGTAATACACTAACACACAGAAAAATTTGAAATGGTGGCACAGGTAAAATTTTACAAACTTAAACTTATCTAGATTGATTTCCTCAACAGGTTACAATAATGGTTCAAGTACACATATATAGGTTTTCCAAAAATACACAATTCCTTTTTTTTCTCAGATCACTCTATGAGTTGGACCAAAAGGCGACAAGGTTTTGAGCAGTAAACATCTAGAATATGAATGTTACAGGAGATAATTGGAAAGGTACGCTAAAATCTAGCTACTTTTTAACATATAGAACTTTATTCTTAACTATTTCGTATAAAATTCGTTCCCTTAAAAAATCAAAGATAGTCTAACCATGGTAGAAAAAGATGCTCGGAAAAATTGTAACAGTAGCTTCCAGTGCCGGACTGGGAGAAAAAAGCGGCCCGGGAATTTTTCAAACTAGCGGCCCTAAAAAATTCTAAACTGACTTGGCTTGCCATAGTAAAAGGTAAACAGGTTTTTCTAGTGTACAGTTTTGAAATAGTCGTTATTTATGTCGAGTTTTCCAAAATTGAGAAGATTGAAAATTTTTAAATGTATTATTTATTTTATCCATCAATTAGTTTATTATTTCTTTTATTTTATTCAGTGGATAATTCTACCTTGCATTCGACTACTTTTTAGCGCTTTACTCGGTAACATTTTACTAGAGTTTTCTAAATGCATTAAGCTTGAACCATAGAATACGATTTTGTATTCTATATTAAATAAGACATGAAAATATGAGAGCTGTAATCTAAGAACTTAATTCTAGAATAAACCACAATTATTTGTACGAAAATAAAACCAAGGAAAACGTATTGTTAAATCATACGTATTAACCTAATAGTATACAAAAGAATAATATACATATGAAACTTCATTCATTTCAGCAATTTCGATTAAAATACATCTGACAAATCTGAAAATAATATTATAGTAAAAGCTTATTTCTAAAACTTGGATGTTTTGAAGTTAGTAAGTCAATTTTAATAAGATCAATTTTTCGATTTTTGGTATAGGGTTTCTTCCTGCAATTTACTAAAAATTTTGAACTTGCGGGTATTAAATCGTTCACTGATATAAATTAATTTCAAATGTAAAGTTTTCAAAAAATTGTGTGCTTTTTTAACTAAATTTTGTAATAAAACTAAAAATTATGACTTTATGGAAAAGAAAAAATCCATAGAACAATCTGTCCTGTTACCTTTAATTATATATCTTGCAAAAACAAAACACAAGTTTTATTAAGACTAATAAATATTTCAGCAGACTTAACGAAAAATTGTACTTCGAACATATAAAATGCCTCTTAAATAAATTGTCCCAAAAAAAAACAAAGTTTAAAAAACGACAAAATTTTTTTATTTTTTTTTTGCTTTCCATTCTAAAAAGGTTTCAAATTTTTGAAATATATCTAATTAAATGTTGGGCCAAGCGGCCTTTTTGAGCAGCGGCCCATAAAGAATTTTCCCTTTTTACCCTATGGCCTGTCCGGCGTTGGTAGCTTCACACTTTTGTTGTTCGTGTATGAATATTCAATATTTGGGCAACTTAAGGTTTTATAGAAACAAATTTTGGGTTCCTTGATAAAAGTTCTGTAAATCAATGTTTTTAAACTAAGGATACTGTGAAAAACAACTAGGTATTCTGAGAACAAAATCCTAACTTCAAGTTGACGGAAAAATTATTAATATTATTATTATGTAACCTCAATCTTGGAATATAACCTTTGTCCATTTACTCGTATTAATATACAATTATTTAATAATAAAATTAATTACATCAAGTGAATTATAGTCTTTCCGATCTCATCTGAAAAACCAAGAGGTTGGTAGTATGTACTATGTTCGGTGGCTGATGCAGCAACTCGGCATTGAAATATTTGAAAAACTTGTTCCCATATTTATTTAGCCAAACCGATATACAGGTCTAGTCGCCCAGTTGAAGAATGAGCGCGCGGGCAAACGCGGCACAAACACAGCCGCACTGGGCGACCGGCCATAAATTTCAGTTCTTGTCAAATTACCTAGCAGCGCATTGCAGCAATGCGGAATTTGGTGTGATTCAGGTAATTTTAATTTATTATAGGCACCTTCTATTAATCATTCATATTGCAATTGCCAAAGGGAGAAATGAAAGGGATATTTTGTTTACTAATATTATTACAACATGGCACTTTGGAGACCTTTTGAAACGGAACGAAACGAAATTTACCATCAATATAATAAAATTGTTTGAGGACATAAATAATTAAAATATGATGTTGGCCAATTGAACATATAATAGAATTTTTTACCTTTAGCAAAAAACTTTTTTAGGGACGCTTTTATTGCTAGGCGTTTTTATACATGTTCAACTGATTTCGGAAAGACTATAACTTGTCTAAATATGAATTAATAAAGTGCAAACCTAAGTTTTATACAAAAAACATGGGGGCAAACCTCCGAAAGAGGTCAAAGGTGCCGACATTGAGTTAATATTTTGACTGGATGGTATTCTGTGACTCAAGTACGAAGTATAAATCAAAGAGCCCGAATAACCGATTTTAGATGATTTAAGGACGGACTGTTTTAGCAAATATTCATACAAGTACGTTCACGAGCAAATATTTGTATAGTTCACGAGTATCTGTCCAAGTAAGTGTGAAGCAGCGGCAGAAACTAAAAATTATCTATTATGTATACCAGTACTTGTTTCCTAAATTTCAGAAGAATTGAATTGAATAACAGTCTCATAAAAAGTGGAAATATTTAAAGTAAAACGTTTCTTTCAACACCTAAAATTTTTTTCTTAGTAATTTTTTTACTAGAAAATTATAAAACGTATTTGTAAAGAAATTTTTCCGAACATGTCTATTAAATTATTAGATTTATAGGGCTAAAAAGATTATATTAAGAGAGCTATGGTTGGTTAAAGACTGAGTTAAGTTAACTTTTTACAAAATCCTAAAATTGACTGTACAAAATTTGAACTGACTCTTGTCAGAAGAATAGGATCCATGCATTGGCCTATCAAGTTTGATATACAGGGTAAGTATAGTTTCTGTAGTTATACTCTAAGAGATCCCCATTCTTGGAATAAAAGTTCATATTCGCTTTCAAGTGCTGAGTTATTGATTACTTAAAAATTTACTAATTTTTTAAATTTAATTCCGGTTGACAAATATCACTAGAAATTAAAATTTTTCTATGCGCATAAAAAAACGTGGGCTTAAGTTTTGGCGGCACAATATGTTAAAAAAGTTCGAAAGATGTCATATTTTTCTTCTTATTTAATTATGTATCTTTTCAAGAGTTGATGAGACTAGTTACAAATCGAATGAATTATTATTATTGTAAAAATCGAAAAAATCGCCAAAAATGGAGTTGAAAAACATTACTTTTTACGGAATTTTTAATGCTTTAAAAATTTGATTTGATTGAATAACAAAGTTATTCTAATTGTTTACAAGTACAAAAGTTCGACCAATGTTTAAACAAGCGCCAGAACTCTCCTAATTGACGGATTTGAATTTTTCAAAAAGCGTTTGAAAGCTTGAGAGCCCTTCTATATGCGATTAAATTTTCAAATATCTAAGGGCTTTGATTTTTGCTGTGCAAAATTTTGAAAATTTGTAATTTTTTTTTCAAAATTTGGATTGCAAAATTGTTATACAAAATTAACCGATTTTGATGAAATTTGGTGAAATGATTCTACATATTTTTAGCCAAGTATGAAGGTCCTATGCCCAATTTAATGACCCCAAACAAATTCCCTAAAAAGTAATGTTTTTTAACCCCATTTTTGGCGATTTTTTTCGATTTTTACAATAATAATCCTGATTCATTCGATATGTAACTATCATATTTTGTAAAAAAAAATTAATTATAAACATTTTTCCCTCTTCCATTTTCGCCTAAAATCAACTCTTGAAAAGATACATAATTAAATAGGAAGAAACATTGACATTTTTCGAATTGTTTTAACATATTGTGCCATCAAAAGTTAAGCCCACGTTTTTTTTATGCGCATAGAAAAATTTTCATTTCTAGTGATATTTGAAAGCCAAAAACCCAAAAATCTCCGTGGATATACGATTCACCCAAACCAAAACAGATACCGCCTAGTCTATTATTTAGTCATTTTCAATTAATTCGTAAATTTATTTTAAATTGACAAAAAATACTCAAAAAGACAAATTTTTCTGTTAAAATGGCAAACACCTGTTTTATCAGCAATAGCAACAGGAAATGCATTTATTCAATTTTCAATTTTAATTATTAATTAGATTTTTTTTTAAACTCTACGACTTATATGTGTGGGAACTATTTTTCTCATTTCTGTTGACTATGTATTAAAGTTTGACTAACAAAACTTGACTCACCCCATATACAGGGTGGTCCGTTTTTCATGGTTCGCCATTGGCAACAGTGAAACCGTAAGATATACAGGGTAGCTCAAATTAGAACAAAGTTGCGCCTTTTCAGGGTCGTTAAAATAAGAACAAGAACAACTAGATTTTATTAATTTTTAAATAAATTATTAAATTTCTTTAATTTTGTGGGTTATTTTTCAAATAAAATAGTAGTAAATAGTTGACGTGTTCGTATTTTTATCCTCTATATGTTACTGTCAGGATCCAATATGGCGCCCATAAGAAAAAAAAAACAACTGAATGTTGAATAACTGAAACTAGTGGTCGTAGAAATGTTCTTTTGACGAAAATGGATTTCCCGTATCTTCTTATCCCCTAGTACCAAATTTCAATTCTTTCTGTTGTGAAATAAGGACGCCAGGGATTGTCTAAAATCGCTATATTCAGTTTTTTCACAATATTTCAGGACCGGCAGCAGATATATATCTTTGATCTGTTTACGGTCTCCCAGATAGCAATGATGAGCCATGAAATACGGACCACCCTGTATATTCTCATTAGACTTCTTAAGAGGCTATTTTTTAAGATGAACTATAACTTTTAATATGTATATCTACTTATTTTTCTGTCAGTTTATGGTTCTAAATTCTATAAATCTGGATTGCAAAGAGAAAGATTTACATATGATGAATGAACTATTAATCAACATTAATAAATAATGTAGAAAATATTATTTATGGGTTTATCTAAACTAAGATTTTTCCGCTTGGTTTGTTTTCGGAAGAGAACTCGACACTAACAATTCTAACATCAGAAGATATATAAATATTAGCAAAATATCGATAACTAAAAATTGTTCAACATTTATAAAACGTTACTAATATCTACTACAAAATTAAAAAATAATAAAAAGCAGCAACTTTGTTCGGACAAATGTTAAACTGTAACAAAAAATAAAAATATTATTATTACTATTCTACTATAAGTTGCTAGTCTCGATAGAATTCATCTTGCATCGATGCTATACGGAATTGCACACCACTTGGATTGTACAGTGTACCACGGGTTTTGTAGATATGCGTTATTTTCATATACAAGTATTCTAATCATAAGACTCCGTTTCTAACTTATGCTACAGTGGCGACATCTCTGCTTGTGTCCCTTCCTCCTCGCTTCATTCTCCTGGTCTATCTTCTTCCGAAGAGCATCTAACAACAAATAATACTTAATAGTAACGGCTAGTAGGTTTGTTAAATAAGGAACAGCTATGAGGGTTTTTAAAATTTTCTTTTCATATGAAGATTACTTTTCTATAGACTTTCCAAGTAGCAATTGAAATTTTAGTATAGTAATTTTTTTAATTATATCTGTTTTTATACCTAAAATTTATAGAAATTAAACTTCAAATGAATATCTACGTCGATGAGAATTATGAAAAATAGAATATACGTTTATAAGGCAAATTTTTTCTATTATTACATTCGTCTCTTGTTTTATACCTGCTAACGGTCGTCTTCCTATGGCCACTAAACTCTCATATAATTCTTTAACTGGATTAACGTCGGGTGCTAAGCCGTGTGCCCATATCAACATCATTCGGAAACCATGTTCTTTGTAACTAGACGGACCTGGGAAATGATCAAAAAATGTACAAGATGTACTTTTAAAGATAAAAAAAAACAACCAAGCGAATGAATTTTTGGAATGTCGGAAGATGACAAATAGGTATCAAATGATGTTCATTAAACTGGTAGTATAAAGTGCCATGGCCATTATTTTCGCAAAAGTTTATCCTAACAAAGTACGAGTTTAAAAAGTTTTCAATTAGGAAAATAAGAAACGAAAACTTAAATTTAAAAGCGAAAAAATGCAGGTCAAATGTATCTTTAACAAGTAATTCGTCATGAAATTCTGCAACTTTGCCCTAATTTGATCGACTTTGCATTTCTTAAGATAACCTAGAACTCAATGGTATAGAAAACACCCTGTACAGTTTTGTTTTTTTCTTATTTATATCCAATTCAGATTTATTAGCGAACATATATCTACATATATTTTTAACAATGTAATCATATTGTATTATACACCAACGAACTAATGTGCATTTAATCCTAGGGGTGACGTTTGAGAGATGTAACAAAAGCGGGGACGCTGGTAGTTTATTTGTTAGTTCTTGGAACGGATGGGCCAACTCAGACAGTAAAATATTTTAGTCAACAGTAATTATTGAAAAGTTATGGGTTTTCAAGCAGGTTTAGCGTCGCCATAAAGTCGTCGAGAGACTAGTGCCTTTTGTCACCGGGAGTAATAAATTTGCAAAGCCGTCCTTCGGGGAAGGCCTCATGAAATTTAGCAATGTTTTTGAACAAGTTCACTTTGAACGTCGGGGCCATGTGTTGGGTATCTGGTAGCTTCGGTTTAGCCCATGGTGAAGGGAAAGATCGATATTTTTAATAACGCGTGAAATACATTCGAAAAGACGTAGGAATTCCAAGATATTTAAATAAGTTTGTTAGGATGTTGTGAGGAAAATAATAATAGATCAAATAGCTGGTTTTTAGGCGGATTTTCCAAGCTATAAGAATAGATTTATTGGGATCGACTAATCCATCCCGTGTTGCTGTACAGAGTCACAAGAGGAAGGTGTAGGGTTACTTGTAAGTTCAGTTTAGCCTCAAAATTATCCATACAATTGTAAAATCAGTCTATTAGGTATTAACATGGTATAGTTAAGACATTTCATCCCCCGATATTCAGGGAGCCCACCAATAACATAAGAACAGAAACTTCTGGATCCAAGAAATGGGCGTGTCGAAGCGCGGTGTCGAATTCAGGAAAGATCTCCGAAAAAAGGCAGTTTCTCCTTGAATTCCACACCGGGCAGTTTTCTTAATTTTAGAGTCTCGGGTTAGTTTAATAACGGTTAAAGTCTTTCCAAATTTTGCTATGCGCGTTGGGTTCCCTGAATCTCGGATTGCGTTGTCACGTAAATTATGTGTTTTCATTACTTTGATTGTGTTTTTTATTGTTATTGAAACCGTTCCTGGAAAGTTTTGGTGTTTTTTTGTTCTTCCAAGTTAAGTGTCACCATATACCAACCAAATGGATTACATTCTACATGAGCGACATACGGTAAGTGACTGGAATTCATTCCCTGTATGTGTGATTGTTGTTGTTGGATAATTTAATGAATATTGTATTGTCACAAGAGATTTTACTAGAGAAATCGACTTGACTACATTACAGCTAAGCTAACACTGCGGCGTTCAGAGCTCGCACTCCCATACATCACATGTTATACATACGTCACATATAAGAGCTGTACAAAGCAAACAAAGAACAGAACATGAACCGAACACTGAACGTACAACATTTCTAAATTCCCACGTATTAATTAAAGTGTAGAGGACAAAAATTATAAACTCCCTTTCGAGACGTAAATAGTAAACTCTTTTGAAATCCAGTCTCGTTATGATACTGGTCACAAAGGTAGATAGATAAATAAAGAAATAACCCCTCAGGTTGCAGAGATGAGACGAAGTCACACGAAATGATAAAGTAAATGTTGCAGTAATATATACTTTGTTTTCCTTCTGATATCCTCTGGAAATATAAGCGCAACGAATATATCAAAAGTGACAAGGGAAAGTAGAAAGATGTATATTTAATATGACGCGGCAAGTAACAATTCAATTTATCCATAAATTTTTGACAGACAGATTAGCAATATATTCACTATAGAAAGCTATCCAGAAAGCCTTACAATACTTATTTTATGTTATCTTCGAGATAGATGAAGACGATCTTTCCTTGTTGGGTCGTTTTGAAGACAAATAAAACAAATAATTTTAAATAAAGTTTTACATACCTCCATATAGGTAATTATTATTTATTTTAGAAGAGATGTAAAACACGTCGGTTACTCAAGAACAATTGAATATACAGTGCGTTCAGGATGAAAGGAACAAGTTCGTTTAAAATTCAGGTAATTATTTTGTGGAAATACGCTCGGACACGTCGATTAGTATTTTAAGTTGCGGGTTTTTTGATATAAGATAATTGTATACTGGATGTGTCATGAAGAACATATTCAGTCTTCGTTGACTTATTTTAATGGAACACCCTGTATATTATGCCATTTTTTAATTGTACGGTAAATTCTGCACATTTTTTGTATAACATACCATATCTCGAAAATTACCGGTTTTCGTAATAATGACGTTTGAAATGTGATAAATGGAAAAAAAATATGTTTAATGATGAAACATTTATAAATAACAATTGCTTTATAATAAATGTTCAATGTTTTGTCGGTTTACTTCAATACATTTTTGTAGTCGAAGGATTGTTTCCGGCTATCCGTTTTCACTTGGCTCTGGTTTTCGAGATATCCTTACCTAAAAGTGTCAAAATCGCGATTTTTTGACATATTTAAGGTTATGTTACATGGAATATAATTTTTTGCTGAAACCATTAATGGGGTCTTAAAGTACTATACTTACTCTTTAAAACGCACTTGGATTTATCCCGATATCATTTTTCGTCTTTGAGAAATCACATGTTGAAATTTAGTAGTTTTACTTATTTCTCAATTTTTGAATATACTACACATATACAGGGTGACATAAAAGTATGGGAACCCCAAAAAATCTCGCGAGATATGCATTTTCCGGAATATAGGGAAAGTTAGTATTTTTCCCTGGCTATTGAACGGTGGTCATGCCATGACCACTGACCACTGACCACGTGGTAATTATGGTAGTTATGGTATGGACGATTTTTTTAAATGGGAACCTCCCTTTTTGACACCGGAAATGGAAAGAGCGGAAAATTTTACGTTCAGATATGACCTTAACTATTTCAAAAATTTCAAAATGGCGGCGAAATCAAGATGGCGGAGGAAATTTTTGAAAGTTATCCGATTGTCACCAAATTTTGTATGCGGACGTTTTCGAGGTCGCTGATCACGAATCCGAGGTCGGATTTAAAAATCAAGATGGCGAATCCAATATGGCGGACGAATTTTTCGAAAATCAACCGATTTGCACCAAACGTTGTAGACGCGGGTTTTTAGGGTCACTGATTACGAATCCGAGGTCAAATTTGTAAAATTCAAGATGGCGGATTCAAGATGGCGGACGAATTTTTTTAAAATCAGTCGATTTGCACCAAAGATGTTATACCGCCGTTTTTGGGGTTGCTGATCACGAATGTCGGTCAGCGACCTCCCAAAACCCCAGTAGGTAGGTATATCAAATTTGGTCTCCATCCACCATCTTGAATTTTGAAAATCTGATCTTGGATTCGTGATCAGCGATCTCGAAAATCTGTAAGATCCCTACTTCCAGGTACCGATGAATTTAGGTTTGTGGCACTGTGTGGTGAGTATACTCAAAAATCTAGAAATAAGTCAAACTACTAAACTACACAAAGCTGTTTCTCAAATGATGCCGGGATAAATGCAAGTTTTAAAAAGTAAGTATAGTACTTTAAAAAACCCCATTAAAGGTTTTAGCAAAAAAATGTACCTATCCATTTAACATAACCTCAAATATGTCAAAAAATTGCGAATTTGGCAATTGTAGGTTAGGATATCTCGAAAACCAGAGCCAATTGAGAAATTTGGCCCTAGGATAACGATGAATCATTGGTAAATTATTTATCTAGTAGTTAAAGATACAAATTTGCTGAATTCAGATTATAAATACTGATAATTTGTTGATCCTCGTAGGAGTCGTAGGATGTAGAAGAAGAGAAAGTTCCTTAATTTTATTTAAAAAAAAACAACTATCTGGAGTTACTCTGTTAAGCTTACATGAATGTAGTACTAAAACCTTAAACCAACACAATACATTTTTGACCCCTTACATTCTTATGTCTCCATTAAAGTTTGAACATATTAAAGTAGACTCAAAGCCCATTCCAACTCTTATAACACCCTCTCCAACAAACCTTCATCAATCATACATTCTTTTCATCCACGCTCGGCATTCCGTTACAAATTTCAAGCACTTAACTAACGACATTACCATTATACTGGTGCTCTATAGCTTTTATCTGGTCCTCGGTGAAAGCCCAGTGACTGGCTAGCCTCTTCCACTCGCCGTGGCTCAAGTGTTTGTAGGCCAGCTTGTAGAGGACCTCCCTCAGCCTGAAAAGACGGAAAATAACATTACCTCCTCCGTTTCAGTGGGCACAATTTATCTGAAGCGTCGCAAGACGGACAAATGCCCGTTTCATTCCGCATTTTTAAAACGCCGAGATAATGGAGCTTCCTTGAGCGGCGTGATATATGGCGGTTGTCGCCGTAAATTTAACTTATCTTTTGAAAACAAATTTAAAATATTGGCGGCAAGTGGGTCACGATAGTGACTGTGACGTTTTTAGCGTCGAGGTGGACACTTTAAATAAGCGATAAATAACTTTGAGCTCAATTCGCAGTCTTTGAAGTATAATAACCAAGTCAATGTCGTGCGAGATGGGCTTATTCACTGCGTGCTATTTTTAAGAAAGTGTTGCAAAGTTCTGTGATGTGTAATGGAAGCAATGAAAAGGTATCCTGTTAGAATTATTTAATGGGAGAGCATCATTATAATTGTGATAAATACATGGTGTCTCAAAAAAAGGATTGTCCTACAAAAAACAATCAGATAAAGTTGTAGGATATCAATGATGAGCTTGATCTTAAGTTTCAAAGTCAAACCAAGATCGACTTGAAAACATTAAGCGAAACTACCTTTTTTATGCTTGCAGTCGGTAGAGTTCCGAATTTTATAAATATGAGCTCAGAAAATTTTCTCTTGCAGGTCATTTAGAGGGGGAGATTCGAAAGTGACCTTGACTTTGACACAAAGGTCAACCGCAGAGCTCATTTGAAGGTTAACTTGCATTTTTAGATATGATAGATATATTTCTGACGCCGAAAATGGATAGAGCGGAAAATATGTCTTTATGTTATAGGTGAAAGTGACCCTAAAGGGTTATTTTAAAGTCAAATAAGGTTATGAATAAGATTTTACGATTTACGGCAAAGCACTTACGACGAAGTATTCTGGTTGCAAGTTTTATGGTTTGATGGGATCATACGATGATGACCTTGACTATGACCTAGAGGTCAAGCTTGAAGGTTCCTTGAAGGTTACTATGACCTGCATCGAAGCGATCTTGCCTTGACTGGCTGGGCCATAGAGGTCTTGCCTTAACTGGATGAGGCCGCAAACAAGGTTTTCCTATTTCGTATGTTGGTTTGACTTTCAAGCTTGTCCTCTCAGTCATCATCATATGATCCCATCAAACTATAAAACTTTCAACCAGAATCCTTCGTCGAATGTGCTTTCCCAAAAAATATCGCAAAATCTTAATCAGAAACTTATTTGACCGTAAAATAGTACTTTAAGGTCACTTTGACCCATAGCATAAAAACATATCTGAACGTATTTTCCGTTCTATCCAAGTTGACCTTGAAATGACCTCTACGGTTGACTTTTGTTTCAAGGTTAAGGTCAAGGTCAGATCTTCGAATGTCCCCCTCAGAACCCTACAACCCTTTTTTCTTGAAATTGCTTCCTTGCAGGAAATCAGCTATTAAGTTTTTGTCTTTTTTGATAGGACTCGACTTTGAAAAGTTATCGGGAGGTTTGGGTCCCTTTTTCGACTTTTTAAAGTATTGAAAATGACACATTTTAGGATCACAAACAAATTTTATTCATATTTTTTAAGTACCTACTACATACCACAGAATTTTCCATGTTCTTAATAATAATACAATTGTCTATAATTTTATAAAAATTTGAACAAATGAACTAAACTGCGTTTAGTGAAAAGCAATTACTTCTAGGAACAATAATTCATTATTTATTTTTTAATAAAAGGAAACTAGTTTTCGTGAAATAAATATGTTTATAAATAAGCAGGATAGCATTCTATAAAGGTCAGATGTCGTTTTTGCGACCCTAACATAAATTTTAGATGGAGGTTAGGACGTTCCTAAGAACGTTAATGATGTTTTATTATATTTCACAGGCGTTTAGGGTGTAAAATATTTACCAAGACCTAAACTAATGAAAGGTTAATAAAACTTACTGTTTACGGCTTTTGGTACCAACACGAAAATGAAGGTCATATAAATTGTTCTGTGCTTTGCGCTATTCTCTTGCGCTCATAAATGTCCTATTCAGAGGTATATTTAATACTTTTGTCATTAATATATTTTTTAATACATACAGAGTGTTTGAAATTTTAAATACGATAATTCAGGCTTCCACAGAGAAATAAAAATAGTGACTCTTTGCTATATTAGTGTTCCGTATGAAAAAAATTAAGTCTTAATTCAGACCAATAACAATAATAGATGTTGATTACAAAAACTGCAAATACAACTTTTTAAAAATTGGCACCAAAAAAATCGTAGCAAACTTAACGTGGAAAAATAGTCGATCATGCTGTTTTGTTTAATTAAAGATGAAGATAGTAGATGTACCTTTCAGATTCCTTCCCCTTTCCATCATCCTTGGAGTTGGTCCTCCATTTTCGACTTAGCTTAGGTCTAAGACTCTCCCTTCTCCCACTATTGGTTTGTTCTTCCTAAAAACAGTTACCAGTAATATAGTAAATATATGATATTTTAATGAAATTTCATTAGTATCCCCAAAAAAAGTCATGGAATCTCTGCGACCAATTCTTTCTTTCCATAAAATTTTATGACAGTACATTTTCGAAGTCACAGGTCTTTAATACAAAACGACTGGTCCACGATAAACACAAATGGGGTAGTCATTAGCTAGTAACACTATTACCCTTTAACGATTTATCAGAAGCCACCATAACCTTATAAACCCAATGAAACTGGGATCAGAGTAGACAGGACGAAAGAAATCAAATAATCACGATATCAAAACCTTGAAGTGGGGCAGTCAGTAGTAGTAACCCTATTACCCTTTAACCCTTTATCAGTAGCCACCATAACCTTATAAGCCCAATGAAACTGGGAACAGAGTGGAAAGGACGAAATAAATCAAATATTCACGATATCAAAACCTTGAAATGGGGTAGTCAGTAGTTAGTAACACTATTACCATTTAATACTTTATCAGAAGCCACCATAACCTTATAAGCCCTATGAAACTGGGAACGGAGTGAACATGACGAAAGAAATCAAATAATCACGATATTTATGGCTGACCAACCTTAGAATCAGGATTAAGTGCACCATTATCAGAAATCACCATAACCTCATAAACCCAAGGACCCCATAACACCACAGTCCTATGGAATTCGAAATACAGAGAATAAATTTGAATTCCTTCATCCTGTCCTTATCTTCCTTCTCCAAAATCTTGGCCTAACTCCACTGAATTATATGACCGTTTTCCCAAACATGATAGGGATAGGATTATTTCTCAAATTCTCATTTTTCTCCAGTATTTACAAGAAAAGACGTCTCTTAAACAAAATGTTTATTACATTTACATCTTCGACAAAATACCAACTACCCGTAAAGTGGGTATTGGTTGTCCGAAAAACTCTTCTAATGTTAATGTTTGTTACCGTTTCTCTTTAATGTTTCCGATAATACAGAAATATACGGATTTTTTTTGTAGATGTAATTTCCCTTTGCTATTTCACAAAATTTGTTTTATTTTCAATATTCTTAAGCTCTTTAAACAAAGTTCCCGGGATACTGGCCATTTATAAATACATTTTTCTTGTTGGGCAAGTGTTTATTTCATTAAACTTTTTAAAAATTTTCACAGTTGGCAAAATACGCAACAAATAAAGAAAAAAATCTCAGTTGCTGGAACATAACATACGTACTAACTTTTTCTTTATTAAAATACTAATAGTCTTGTCACTGAAAGCGAAAATAAGGTAAAAGCTCCAAATTTTTTCGGATAGCATGGATTTTCTGAAAATTTGCATACAAACTCATCTGACCCCCCCACTTCAAAAGTTATATTGTGTGTGCTTTTTTCTATTTGGGGGAAAACGACCCTTGTACGAAAAAAATGCGAAAATCGCAGATTTACGTATTTTAAAGATACAATTCATGTTCAAATATGTATGATAAAATTCCTTTCATGTTTTTAATATAATTTATGAAATTTAATTATTTTTTAACCCTTAAGAACCCTTAAGAACTACCCTTCCATGGCCAAAAAAATATTATCTTGGTGCATTCACAATGTATTACATTTCTTTTGTTATTCATTAGAAAGCTTACGACTCATTACAAAGTTGCAACCATCCCTAATAAAATAAACAAAAAAATATTATTGAAAGCTTGAGATGTTTTAATGGTATGCATATGTTGAATTATAAACTTTTTATTTGTTTTCAAATGATCTATGATATATTGCTACTTTTCAGCCACCCAAAAAACCCTTATGCAAGACATAAAAAACCTAATGTGACTAATGCGCTAATATGTGACTATGATGATATAATTAATTTTTTTTAGTTTTATTGAATTTATTCTTAATATTTTTTTATTAAATTAATATCAAATAAAAAAATTTTATATACATTATAAATGGATGTATTGTACAAAATGTTTTTAAAATGGTCTGTTATTTTTTAAGTGTGTATATAATAAAATATTTAATTTTTATCACTGTCATCACTATCTTCAGCCTCGCCTTGGTCCAACATTGAAGGACAATTGTTACAATTATAGCCAGAACATGAACCACACGTGAGATTGCAAAAAAGTCCTTTTTCTGCAACCACAAGTTGCGCCGCATCCTTTTTTACATAACTTTTGTAATTTTAAAGTTATAAATTTACTCAAAAAACCATTTTATAGGGAATATAGCACTTTAAGTTCTGTGATTTGCAGTTTTTTGAGGCCTTCGTTTTTTAGATTTGTAAGTTAAAAGGGCTCAGGAAAGACAGTTTTGGACTTAGTTTTGAGTTTCTAACGGTCATAACTCTGTCAAATTTTGTCCTAGAAAAATTAAAAAAAGCAAATTGTTCAGTAAGAAAAAACCTAGAATTTATTATTCTATCATTTTTTTTATAACTTTGTTAGTTTTTGAAATATTTTGAAAAAAGGCGATTTAAAAAAAAATTAAATATTTTATTCAAAAGTAAATGAAATATTTTTTAAATTTAGGCTTATAAAATCGTTCAAATTCCCAGAATCTACTGTTAATACTTAAATAAAGTAAATTGCAGAAGGAATACGTTTAATTTTTTTTTCGTCAAGACATTAATTTTAATACCGATTTTTTTTTCTCAAAAACCAAGACAATCATTTTATTTTGATTGTAACTTCATTAGTTTTCATGGTAACAACTTTTACCACCACTCAATTTAAAGGTCTTATCAAGAACTTTAATAAGTGTTATATAATTTTTCCTCGAAAAACCTTTAATTTTTCCGCTACAGGACGTTGAACGCTTCGATTATAGCTATCTTCGAAATTGACTTCAACTTCTGGAAGTCATAACTCGGGTTCTATACCACCTACAAAAATTAAAAAAAGCAATTTCTTTACAATTTAATTAGCTTAATTTTTGCTTATGATCATTTTTTTGATAAAACTTGTAGTTTTTGAGATATTCGCGAAAAATGGCTCAAAGACATGCATTTTTTGGGTTAAAAACGAACATGTTTAGGCGCAAATAACTCAAAAAGTATTGACTGTACACAAAATTCTATTAGAACATTTTTTGCTTAGAATTCGTCCCTCTATCGAATCGTTGGGTTATTTTTAATAAAAAAAATTCCCACCCCCCAGAAGATGTGGCATCCACCCCTAAGGAAAAAGCACATATCCGCACTATATAACTTTTGTTTCTTGGGCTATTCCCTAGCTACAGTTTGGTAGTACAGCTTCAGTGACTGGACTATAATAGTCATTTAGGTACTAGTTAAATTTATAAACAGTAAGAATTAGTAACTACAATAAAAGGAATAACTGAATCCTCTAAAAAAAAATAGCTGTGATAAAATTCCGCTCATTAAATTCTTTCTGTACATGCTGATTGGCAGTACATAGCCCTGGGTGTATATTTGTGCAGTCTACCAAATTCCAGTGGCGTACAGATAAATATTTTTAAATCATTTTCGAAGGATCCTTTTCCATTTCCTTTTTACACTACGGTATTTGTAAGGATCCTTTGTATCTACATCTGATTTGTTTCTCGTTTGATAAATTGTGAAGCATTTTTACGTCAAATATAAAGATCATTTGCTAATTTCTATAAAACCCACGTGCCTATTTAACCAAATTCTGTCTCGGTAAAAATCAAAAACACTCACGTGAGAAGGATAATCCAACCGCGCAGTTTTTATAATCATATCCACTATGGCTGTGAAGCTCCCTCTGGCGGCGATATACAACGGCGTTCTGCCCCCCTGTTCCCGTTGCTCTATGTCGGCTCCTGCGGCAAGCAGCAGCTTGCATATCTCCGTATGGCCCATCTCAGCAGCGATATGGATGGGCGACTGAAGCCTCTAAAAAAACGTGTATAAATAAGCACATTATTATTATTATTGTCATCCTTGCTATTTACCGCGTTTAGGCAATTCAGTTCTGCTCCTCGACCTATTAGCGTGTCCACGACGTCCACTTCGTTGGATTGGCATGCCATGTGGAGAGGTGTACTTCCACACTGAAAATAAAGAATATATAGGGTGTCCCAAAATTAACGCGGGATTTGAGTTGTGCGCCATTTTCATTCCGAAGAGTTCGCAGCATTGTGAAGGAACACATGTTGTAGTAAACACGTTACAGTTAGATAAAATGAGTGAAGATTGTGAAAATTCATTACAAATACAGAGAGTGTGTAGCTGATACCGTGCGCAAAATTAGTTGCGCAAAGTAAACGGTACGGCCAGTAATATACAAATAATGATAATTTTAAGATAATTTTAAAGTACGAATTACGCAAGGAAATAAAATATAAATCCCTTATTTTCATTTTCCTCTTTTGATTTCATTCTATGTCTACTACATTTTTTATAACGGTATGTTTTGAAGTCCCTATTTATTGCATTATAAATATCTTGCTAAATTGTTGCCCATAAGGAACTATAAATTCAGATCCATAAAAAATTTATTGAAAAAAGAAAACGAGAGGTCGATAACTTATCATTTTATACCGTTCATAAATGTGGTGTATAAAAAACTACTGATCCCATTTTCTAAGCCTTTACGATCTTCTCAGCAAACGGAACTAACGAGATCCCTTTTTGTCTCTTAGCAACCAGAACATCAGCTGACATCAGGCAACATATCTGTTAAGCCTGTGACAGATAGGAGCAGATAACTTTTACTTTAAAGAAACCATAGTAATAGATGTGGCAAAAAGCGTGTGTTAAAATACACAAAGTCCTTTTAAGGTTACTTTTCGTGAAATATATGCCGGATACAATGCTGACATACTTACGGAGTAAAAATCGTTGTTGCTATTTCGATATTTAACTCAGAAAAAAAAAAGTTGGTGATGGTACAAGCAAATAATAGATAATGTTGACATTCTACATAGTACTTGTCACTTTGTAAACGGCGTTCTTTTTTTTCTATAGAATTTAACCTTCAGTTATCGAATTAGTGATGAATATAAAAAAATGAATAGTACAACAGTATAGAAATAAGGCCAACTTTCATTTTTTTAATAGAAAGTCTTGTGTATTTCTACATATTGAGATTACAGCGGTATAATTTTGATAGGCAATAAATGATATTTTAAAAGAATGTAAAAATTTTAAAAAAATCGAAATTGTCTTTGTTTGCAAGCTTTTTGACATTAATTTGTTTATTTTATGTGTCTCGTAAAACCCAAAGACTTTTGAAAATTTTTTTCTTCCATGAAAACCTTCCAAAATAATTTCGAAGACATTTTTTTAAAATCAATAACTGGGGTGGAGTTAGCAAATGTTGCTTTATATACGATCCCGAATTTCCAATTACGGCAAGGATATTGGCGTGACATTTTTCAGCTTGATGAAGGCAATTTTGTTACTTACCTTATTCTGCTTGTTCAGCATGGCGTTGTGCTGTATAAGCAATTCTAATATCCCTTTACATCCTAAGCTGCATGCTATGTGTAACGCTGTTGACCCCTTCTGAAAATATTTAAAAAATAAGGGTTATTGCAATGTTTAATTTTATTACCTCAAAACAACAATAAACCTGTTGTAACAAAAATGTCACTAGTTCAGTTCAGAGCAGACTTAACTCAGCTGCAGATTTTTCTAAATATTGTTCAAGTATAACTTTTCGAATATGCAGTTATTAAAATGTTTTGAGATTAATTATAGAATTACAAATTAATTAATTTGCAATGCGTGTGAGCGAATTGGATACGTCGCGCTGAAGCTTGTGTGCAAGCAAATGGTGGGTACATCGAACATCTTCTATGAAAATCAGCAGTTCTCAAAAGGTGGCTCCTTGTAATGTTGGGGTAAGTCAGATTTTAAAACTATATTTTATTCAACACAAATCTATGTATTTACCGCATTTTGACATAACGGACATGTGGCAAAAATGTTTGACCTAAGTTCATTAACACCCTGTATATGAAGATAAAACGATTCTTTGCTTTTTAAAACATCTTGCTTTAAATTTATGTAGAAATAGGAGTTTGTAATTGTTCTGGAATTGTAGTTTTCTGGACTATAAAATCAACTGTCGGACAGGTCAAGATTATATAAAGCAGGTTGGCGACATTTTTCCATTAAAATACTTATAAAAATAGAGATCGGTTCGCAGAGGTCCTATAGTAAAATTCGTTTTAGGTTTGAATAAATTGATCTGTTTGCATTTTGCCCATCTTGAATTGTAGTCGCCTGGAATGTGTGAATTTCGAAATCCGAAACTGGGATGAATTTTCCATTTCCAAAGACGGCTTTGTGGTTCCAAATGGGAAGTTGAGCAAAAATTTGAAATTAGCTCATAACTTGGAATTTGACTAACATTTAGCTCTGTTTGACGATGTTACCATAAACTTCAAGATTTACACTTTCTGTGGCATCTGACAACTTATTACAATTTTGTTCTTGGTTTTGAAAATTAACAAACAAAATGTTGTAGGGAAACATAACCTTAAAAGTTCTATTAAATATCAAAAATTGAAACAGAGCAAGGCCTTTATTTAACAAGGGCAAAAATGTTTATTTTGAGGCAGAATATGATGACGTTGTTAATAAAAATTACAAAAAAGTTCATTTTCGTTGTAAAAATTAGGTGAAATAGACTTGATTCTGCAACTTTCCTTTAAATCTTAAAAGTTACAATTTTAGCAGGTCTTTAAAAAAATATGTGCAATTGGTGATCTCTACACTTTACACCTTTTAATATAAACTGTTTCAAGGTTCCCTTTAAAAGTTATCACAAAACATTTGACAATATAGGCTTTATAGATTATTTGAACTACTACGTTGACAGTAGTTCAGCTGTTCTTATAAATATTAAATCATCACTGCTTGAGCTCATCCTTCCATGTCAGTGATGTTCATTGTTATTATAGTGGGTTAGCTTATGATTATTATTATAACCTACAAAACTAGCAGAGTTTGAGGCTTGGGGGGTGTTTTGTTTATAAAACTTAGTAAAAGTTTTGCGTCTTACATTATTGACAAGTATTAAAGCATATTTCATTAATGATATAGTTTTTTAACTTGTTCGCAATACTTCGGAAACCTTAAAACATAAAAGACAACAAAATAAATTTGTTATGAACTTTCTAGAAGAACATAAAACAAGCCCATCATAATTACAACCACAACTTAATAATAGAAATTTAGATGTGCAGGAATTTTTACATGAATTTGTTTCTGAATTTTGCAATATTTTATTGAAGCTAAAAATACTTTCAAATCTAAAATAGTCTATTAGGTCAGTAACAAATTAAATAATTATGTTACTTACTTGCTATACATACAGGGTGTTCTGAAACTCCGCCAGGAAACTCCGGAAGGTGATTCTATGGATTAAAATAATAGCAGTATGTAATGAAAATTTTTTTCGAATTGTCAATTGTTTGCTAGTTACAGCTTGTCAAAGTTCAATTTTTTTTATTCTTCTATTTAAATAACTTACGCTATTAAAGCGTTATTAAACCTCAAATTTTTGATAATTCTTTCTACAATTAATCAAGTTGCCGTGCTGTAAAACCAGCTTCGTTAGTAAATAAAATATTATTAGCAAATTCATTATCCTCAGCTTATTTTTCTATAACGTTATCACAGAGCCGAAAAAAAAAATATTTTGGTGGAAAATCAAACGTACTTGCTTTAAATAATTTTTATTACAATTCGTAACACCAAAATTACTAATGATATTTATTTGAAGCATGGCAACTTGATTAATTACAGAAAGAAGGATCAAAAATTTGATGTTTAATAACATTAATATCGATTTCCTGGGCTAATTCTCGTAGTTAGAATGAGGAGTAGAGATATTATTATTATTATTTATAGGCTTGAACAAAGAGTACATATTTTTTTTGATATTGTTTCTTTTTTCAATATTGTTTAAATTTCTGTGATGTTTAGCAAGAGAAAAAAGTTATGGGCAAAATAAATTTTGAGTTCTAAGTAAAGTGCCCTCTAGCGGTGCATAATGAAACTTTTCTCTGGCTGGTCCATTAGAGCTTCAATTTAAATAGAAAAATAAAAGAAATTGAACTTTGACAAGCTGTAACTTGAAAACAATTGACAATTCGAAAAAAATTTTCATTACATACTGCTATTATTTTAATCCATAGAATCACCTCCCAGAGTTTCCTGACGAGGTTGCAGAACACCCTGTATAATGAGATAATGCTTAAATAACAAATCTGTGTTCTACTTTTCTTCATTCTCAATTCATAACGTCCAGCCGAGTTAGAATTTGAACATAAAAAATTAGAGCTTATTTTTACGATTATTTAAAAAGAAAGATAAAAAATTTTTATAACGTTAATTGTGAATTAACTATTGGACGTATCAAACTAGGATTTTAGGGATAATTAAAGAAAAGTATGAACTTTAATTTTTAAAAAGTTTTATACTAATAATTCATGTAATAAACGCGCTAGCAGCAGTTAAAGTTAACAATAATAAACAGCACGAGAAAGGGCGCAAGATTTTTTATCTAATATTTCATTTATTTAACTTCAAAGCAGTATTTTAATGCAAAAAGAGCGAATTCCCGAGCGACTTCTGTCTGAACCTGGGACAATTTATTTATAACGCTGTTTTGCACATTCTACTTTGTGAGTTGTAAAGAGCAATTTAATTTCAACTTTTTGATTTTTTCCTTTCCGATACATTTATTTAGATCAACAAATTTGGTGAAATATGACTTTAGGTATCTTAAAGTGTGGGTGATTTAATTACCTTCAAAATAAAATAACTAATTTTCCGATGGGTCGTTTAGATTTCCAGAGGTAGTAAAAAAGTGAAAAAACTCATAATGTTACAACTTATTTGCAATTTGCCAACTTAACGTCACTTCTTTCCTGTTACTATTTTTATATTTTCATTCTTCGTATCCTTCCCCTTCATAGAGTGCAATAAATTGTCTACTAATAACTTTTTAAGTTTTCAGGGACTATTAGAGTAAATTTTTAACATCCCTTTGTTTGTGATGACCAATTTTAAATTAATTATTTAAAATTTTATTCGAAAAGAAGTTAGACAATACCAAAATAGCTCTTAAAAGTTCTTAAAATTCTAAAGCTTTTAAATTTTAAAGGAGTTGTTACAGAATAGACCGGATAGTCCGATAGGCATTATCGTCCCTTCTCCCTCTGTTAATTAAATTTGAATCCCTTTCAACAGCAAAGTTTCAACCGCCATTATCGACATAAAAGTTTAATAACTACGCTATTGATTCCTAGGTTTTCGTATAAATTTTTCAATTAGCACATTTTACTGCCCTTTCGTGCATCAAACACGTTATTTTGTAACTAAAACCGGACATGAAAAAGACACCTCGTGCGTGATCGCAGAAATAAAATATCGCCGTTATTATTTCAGCACGTATAACGTTTCATCATTTGGATCCGGCAAATCCGCCACTTATTCGGCGCCCCCCGGAGCAGATGCTCGAACCGCAATCTATAAATAAACGTAATTACCTATTATTCCCTTTCTGACGTCCCTACACCAGATAAATTTAATTATCTGTTTTCTCAAAGTTTCCACGGATCCGACTGGGCGCCCTATTGATCCCGGGGTACGGACCGCTGTTCTCTACGACGCGGTTGTCCCCCGGGGTATTCATAATTAGCGATTGGGCTATATCCGCCAGGTCTTTTACCTCAAAAAAAGCGCGCTGGGTAGCGAACTTGTTTACTTAAACTCATAAAAAGGGACGGGGTATTGGAAAGAAGGCACAAAATGTTATTTAGCGCTTCGTTAGATTGATGAGTCCAGAACAATTTTAAATAATATGAAGAAAAATAAATTCTGAATTCACAGGGCGAACATTGAATGTGTACAGGGTGTCTCAAGCTCGAGGCCTACTGTGAGGATACAAAAAATTTATTTAAAATTTGGGACACGTGGTGTTAAGTGGAATGAAGTAAGCTCCATTTTCAGTCGAAAGTATTATTTTTGGGATTTGATAGAAACGACTAATGACGGCATCAGTTATATTTTTTTCAGAAACGTATCCAAATTTTTCATCTGTTAAAAAGCTCTCTTTTTTCTAATAAACTTTTATTAGAGAAATTTTTCTGTATTACTTCACGTTTAAAAGTTATAAGCAATATCGTCCTATAAAGAGTCTCAAAAGAAATACAGGGATGGCCAAAAGTACGGAATAAAATTCATATCTTTTAAATGAGTTAATTTTTTTTTAAAACGCCGAAACACGTTAACTGATTTTGATTTTTTCCCATCTTTCAGTTACATAATAATTAATTTTTCTTCAACCCCCTAACCCCCAGCTACCCCTACTTTTTTTTCAAATGGAAACATAAGGCATGAGGGGGCTCGTTGAAAAGCTTATAGAGAACCGAATCCAGCCATACCAAATAAACAAGTTTTATTTTTTCAATAGCAAGGTTTTTAGGGTTGTATAAAACACCTACTTAACAAGTGAAATAAAATTTAATTATCTTCAGTGTTATCCTCCATGAATTTGCACAGAATAAAATAAAGAATATGAAACTGTACCTATCGCTGCTGACGCAAAAAAGATATATTTTTTATGTAGCATTTTTTGGCACCTCCTACTTGCCAGGCTTTCTGGTTAATTTTTCGCTTTAGTTGTAAATTGGAGTTCGAAACGTTACTATTGTGTCAAAATCAATTTATTTACTGAATTGCAATGGTATTGTCGGAAAGGCAACGCATCGAAATCTTGATATTGCTTGGATGTGGAGACAAAATAAGAAGTCAGGCTGAAGTGCGCGATTTATTTAATGCGAAATATCCCGAAAACCAAATCTCGCAAGGGACAGTTGGTAAAATATTTCACAAATTTGAGGAACACGGTACAGTACAGACTTTGCCCAAAACTGGACGGGCACGTGCTTTGAATGAAGAAAAGAAATTAGACATTGCATTACAACTTGTTGAAAATCCTCATACTTCAACTGTTTCATTGGCCTGCAATCACGATGCTTCTCGAACTGCAATTCGAATGTTTCTGAAACAAGAGAAATACCACCCCTATAAGGTATGTCTTGTCCAAGAGCTTTTGGAAGACGATTATGATAGGCGATTACAATTTTGTGAGGAAATGATGAGACGGTGTGACGACAATAATGGTTTTCAACGAGACGTACTTTTTTCGGATGAAGCAACGTTTTATTAAAATGGAGTGGTTAACAGGCACAACTATCGCTTTTGGTCCCTGGAAAATCCACACTGGACATGCGAATCGCATACGCAGCATCTACAAAAAGTTAATGTATTCTTTTTTGAAGAAAATCTTACTGCCGCACGCTACCTGGATTTCCTAACATTTGACCTGATACCTGCTCTAGCTGTGATTTTCCCTCATGAAATTGATCCAGATATACCCAATGAAAGAATTTGGTTCCAACAAGATGGCGCTCCCCCACATTTTGGTATTGATGTTCGAATATACTTAGATGAAATGTTTCCAAATCGCTGGATTGGTAGACGGGGTACAGTTGAATGGCCGCCAAGATCCCCCTGGATTATTTTCTTTGGGGATATTTGAAAGAAATAGTCTACCAGGACAGACAGGATAATATTGAGAATTTAAAGAACAAGATTAGGGCGGAGATGCATAATTTACCAGCTGAAGTCATTCAGAATGCTGTGGACAGCATTACTATCGTCTTAGAGAATGCCAAATAGTGAATGGAGGACGTTTTCAGCATTTGCGACATTGAGTTTATTTTTGTAAATTATCTAGTTGTTTCAATTTCTAAATGAAAAAAAACTTGTTATTGAAAAAATAAAACTTGTTTATTTGGTATGGCTGGATTCGGGTTTCTATAAGATTTTCACGAGCCCCCTCATGCCTTATGTTTCCATTTGAAAAAAAAAGTAGGGGTAGCAGGGGGTTAGGGTGTTGAAGAAAAATTAATTATTATATAACCGAAAGATGGGAAATAATCAAAATCAGTTAACGTGTTTCGGCGTTTTTAAAAAAAAATAAACTCATTAAAAAAATATGAATTTTATTCCGTACTTTTGGCCATCCCTGCATAATAATAATAATAAATATTTTTTATTACAATTATTTAGCTCAAGTACATGTACATGTACATGTAAACAAATAGAAAATAGAAATAGCTTGTAAAGGGGCAAAGTGCCAGTTTAAAACTCCTTTTCAACTTAATCTCTTGAAACAGTATGAATAAACAGGAAAAATAAATAAAAATAAATAAAGAACACAAAATATCCTAAGTATAATAGAATCTCTAAACATATTCCGTACAGAATATAAACGTAAATCGAAAAATATATAGATACACATATATATGAATCAAAATGAAAAACTCGTAGTGACTAAGTGAAAAAAAAATCTAAACAGTTACCGACATCTTAAAAGGCGAAGGTCTAGTGACAGAAAATTATTAACTAGTAGTACAATCATCCAAAAGAAATTGCTTTAACTTTTTTTTAAAGTTCAAAATTGTGTTTGACTTAAAACAAACGGGCAAAGCATTATATTCTTTACAGGCATGATAGATAAAACTTCTAGTATAGAGGGCAGTGGCGTGACGAGGAACTTCTAATAAACGCGAATAACGAGGATTAAAAGTCGAAATGGCTTTATGAAGCCTCGTAAATTTTTTATGTAAGTATACACGGCATTTTTGCTGAAGAATTTTATGAGTCAAACAACAACTTACGACAAATACCACCTAAAAATCACATTAGCGGTGGAATGATCAAGTAGTCGTTGGAAAATAATTGAGTGTTCGTTGTTTAAGGTGCATAAATGTCATTAAGAATAAATAAAAGTATTAAACTCCATAATTCTTTAGTACAGTTAAAACAAAATGTGATGATAACAATAACTAATCTTAAAAAATGGGGCAAACGCTTTCATACTACATATATATTACATTCTATTCTCTATATGACCTCCTCTCATTTTAAGACACATATCTAATCTTCGCTTGACTTTTTTGGAGGCTGCGTTTATTAACATTTCGCCTTTTAACTCATTACAAGCGTTTGTATTTTTTTCTGTCAAATCATTAATATCTCGCGAAGAAACTTTATTTTTTAAAACCCTCCATAAAAAAATATAGAGGTGTTAGATCTGGTAATTTTCCGGTCCATTAAGCCCAATCCATTTTTCTGGGAAAGTGTTGTCTAAATATTGCTGCACAATCCTAGCCCTGTGGGGTGGAGCCCCTTCGTGCTGAAACCATAGGTTTCTCCTTAGCTGTTTTGCAGAAGTGCAGAAAGTTCTTCTTGTAGGACATAAAAATAAGGCCCAATTAAATGCCTACCGATGATACCGCACCATACATTTACTCCAAAATGGCCTGGACTGGATTTACAATGTGGGGATTTTCAATGGACCAGTAGTGTTCGTTGCGACTGTTTGGCAAACCATTACTGACAAACCGACGCTCAGGCAAATACTTCAAATTGAGAATTTTGTCGCCATGATACCCATTGGTCTTTAAAATTCGTTGAATGGCTGATTTATTCAAATTTAATTCCCGGCTAGCTTGCCGTATAGAATTTCGTGGGTTTTGTTCGAAATACTGTAACCGTCTAGCTGTATTAACATTGTTTCTTACCCTTCAGTCAACTATTTGATTTTTCCGAACAGAAAATGCATCCTCATTTCGACGCAAGGTCACCTCCAATCTTGTAAAGGTTCTATGATCAGAAATGAGGCTCTCTGGATACCCTTCTCGATATAACTCTACAGCTCTTCTTGAATTTTTTTGTGACTCGCCGTAAATTAGCAACATATCAACTTTTTCTGAATGAGAAAACATTGTGTAAGCACAAAAGTTATACGTTTGACGTTCGTATTGAGCAATGACAAGTGTTTTGTGACATTTATGCACTTTAAACAACGAACATTCAATTATTTTCCAGCGAGTACTTGATCCTTCCACCGCTGATGTGATTTTTAGGTGGTATCTCTTTTGAGATTCTTTAGGACGATATTGCTTATAACTTTTAAACGGGTAATACAGAAAAATTTATATAATAAAAAAAGTTTATTAGAAAAAAATCCTATCAGGAAAAAAATTTGGGAATGTTTCTGGAAAAAATATAATTGATCGAGTTTGACACCCTATACATACAGCGTGATTCTAAAATGTTTAACCAACCTTATAGGGCAAAAACTAGAGGTTAGTTTAATATATATTTTTTCTTTCTGATGCGACAAAAAAATACAAAAAATTATGAAACTGTGGTAAATATACCAATACAATCAATTCCCGAGTATAGATTTTAGTTATCTCTAACACTTTAGAAGATGGTTAGTGTGTTTCCGTATTTCGTTAAGGTAAGGAACAAATATTTACCAAGTTTTCACTGTCTGGGTCTGCTCCAGAGTCTAATAGCATGTGGACCAGTTCCGTTTGCTGATTCTGAGCAGCTACATGAAGAGGTGTATTTCCTTCTTCATCTCTAGATTCCATATCAGCCTCGTGAGCCAAGAGGAGTTGGGCTACTTCGCAGTGACCCCTTTGACAGGCCATGTGGAGGGCCGTTTTCGATTCCTGAAAAAGAAGAAATATCAGAACACTTTCCTTGTAACGCTGTTTCACAATAAAGGAACATACTCCCCCAGATGTATATTTTACGATTAAAAATTAACTTCGACATTGTTTATTGAAAAAAATTGACAATCTTTTAAAGACTGTAGCTCACTTAGAAGCCAATAAGCCTTTAAGGATGCGAATTTGCTTCCATCTTTTTGCAAAGAAAAGGAATTTGGTGCAGTATCTAAATGTAGACATAATACGTCTTATCGTGAGACATTGAACCCGGATTATCAATTATTTATAGGAATCACAATATCGACTAAGCAGTCGCATTCTCTAAATCACACCTTGATTATGGGAAATCAATTATTTAAGTAAATAAATCAGCTCGTTTCGTTGTACCACCTCACAACCGTCTGTCTCTATTAATAATTTACTCTAAGCTCCCTTCTCCGATTGTGGTGTAATTACTTGGTAAAGCATTAATGTCAATCCGAGGTATTAGTGGTTTCTGTCTGTAAAAAATTAGAAGCCCTAACCTTTGACTTAAAGATACTTGTATTAGATTTTGTGTTCGATTTTTTGTAGTTAATAATTATTCAAGATAATATCAACACAACTAAAAAACGATTCATTTATTTAAATATAGTGAAATTTCTACTCTTCCAGAAAATACCTAGATTTTGTGAATATGTTATTTTTTAATTTATGACTACCGGAAAATAAAGAACTTACAAACTAACATCTAATAATAAAATAAGATAGAAAAAACAAAACAGAAAGCGATTTAAGTAGCACATTTTATTCTTATTGATATAAAATTCAATAGGAACTGGAAAAATATACTAAAATCTACTTGCCATCTCTGTTTATTTAAGAGCAAAAAATTACTAAACTTTATACGATTCTTCAAAGCCTGGTCGTCAAACATATTTTATTTTAATTGCTGAAGATACACAGGGTGATTCACAACTTATCAAAAAAAAAATTATAAAAACCTTACAGTTTCCGAGAAAAAAATATTGAAGTTGTAGTATTTTCACCCTTTACATCGGTGGGCTACTGTAGTCTCCAGCGTCATTCGCGTTGTGCGTTGGCGATTCCGAATACTGAAATCCGATTTTAGTATTATCGTTATTGCGATAGTGTTTACATTAGTTTTTCAAGTGCCAAAAACGGCTTAGGTGTACAGCAACTCGGGGTTGATGGATATCGTTTTAATTTATGATGAAGCAAGACAAAATGCTTTAGCAGCTTCTCATCTGTACGCAGAACGATTTTCCGGTAGACATGTGCCGAATGCAGCTAGTACATTCTGTACATTTAATTTTTTTTTATTTGATAAGTTGTGAACCATCCTGGTCAAATTTATAACAATGTGGTTCTCATAGCATTTGCCTACGTATTAAATTTGAACAAATTTTGACCATTGGGAGAACCATGGAAATGAGTTCCATTGATCACAAGTTCTGTTGGTTCAAAATTGCTGTTTGACAGTTGTTTTGTACATTTCATACTGTAATCTTTTTAAAGACATAGGACATAGTTTTATAGATCAGACATCTTAATATCTGAGAAGCAAACGCTCTATTTCTCAACGATAATAAATCTTATCCATTCAGATTAGTTGGCAAGTTATCGTGGCAGTTGTCAATGATTGAACAATTTCCGATGTGGTTGCCATGTCGTCGATTTAGATTTGTTGACATTTCGAGAAACATACCTCTTCGTTAGAAGTTTTGTAAAAAAGAGATTAAGTCTTCTGACTGGTATTCATATTTGATGTGTCGACCATGGTCCATGGAGTTGTGGTGCACGTTTTAAAGTCACGGTAACCTTCTGATCATTGATTGTCAGAAATTGGTCGTCTCTAAATTCCGCTCCCACAAGAATTACGTATACTTAAATTAATTAAATGCATTATATCTGTCATGTACTCTACGGGTGCTGATCTCTCTTTGATAAATCAACAGATGTATAGCACGTAACAAATCTAGGTCATTTCACGGACGTAAGTAAGACCAGAATTCTAGTGAGAGAAAGAAGATTTTTGTCATGACTATTATCAATTACTTCAAATCATCCACCAGAATCCATAGACTAGTGCACACAACAAATGTGAATTCTTCTGAAGAAGAGAACGATATATTTCTGGAAAGGTCATATAGAGATAATATAGTAACCATTCAAATATCAAAATTTAGACATCGAAGTGAATTGGACTTGAAGTGAAAGATTTTGATTCTATTTTGATTCATATAAAATTAAGTAAAAGCTGTATTTTTCTATAGTAAAAGGATTACCCCATTTTTATTCATACTGCTCAGTGAAGGAACTTAAAATTAAAATAACTACAACATCTCCTAAAAGATTAATATAAAAGATAATTGATAGAAAGAAAAAAAGGAAAAGAGAGAGAATAACGTACACTGCGACTTTTGGTGTTTGCGCTCAGGAAAGACGTTCTAAAATGATCAGGAAAGACCGCTACCTTGTTCTTTCTATCCAGCTGCGCCCCCACTTCGATGAGTCTCCTCACGACCGCAGCATTACCAAAGAGGGCGGCATGGAAAAGCGCTGTCTGTCCGTCTGCGTCGACGGCGTCAATTTTGACGTCCTCCAAAGTGTCCAACAGGAAGTCCACAACCTCTACCCGGTTGTTCCGTGCGGCACACATCAGCAACGTGTATTGTGCCTAGATAAAAATTGTACTTGCGGCGGATAAAGGTAATGATCGATATCTAACTTAGTCACAATAAGGACGCGCGAAATGTGGAATTTACGACACTTTTAGGGCACCATAAATCTGGAAATACTGAATTGCTAGTAGCTTCAACAAAGTATCGATATTACGGTGGAAACGGTGACTTTAAACTAATATTGCAGTAAATCAGAAACTTCTAAGAACTTCTTAAAATCCAAAATTTAATTAATATATTATACGGTTTTATAATACGCCAACTCTGTTGCCAAGATCTAGATGATTTTAGATTTAGTGTAAGGTGTCTCACTTTGAATGGAAATCAAATGAATGAAAGATTCTTTAAGTCAAAATAGGGCAATGAGCGGAACAGGTTCAGTTCAATTTCGCTACATATTGAATGACCATATGTTGGATAAACCTAGTTATGTCAAGAATTCACTGAAAATTGTACTTAAAAACGCCCCCCTTAAGGCTTTTTTGGCTCAATCTTCCTATTTTGACAGTAGGAATCGCCCATTCATTAACACGACTGTGTCCAGTGTTAATGAATGAAACACCTTGTAGAAAGGAACATTTCCTTAATTCATATTTCGACAACCAATCACTCCAATAAAACATATATTCTGAGTTAATTTATGTTCAAAAGAAATAAATTTCTTCAAAAATGGTTACTTATTCCCATGAAATACAAAATCCATTATTGAACTGGATTTCAGCTCTACTTGTTGGAATGGTTTCATGATTCACTTCCTCTAATTGCCATTCTCAAATCTACATGTATAAATAATAAATGATTCCCTGATATGTGTAAAAAAGGATTTATACGGAAACAAAGTAGGCGTAATTTATGGTTGTTTGTTACAGTTCCGCTTCATTGTTGAATTCGGATAACACTACGATCACGCACTTTGTCAAATTCATTGGCTATGAATATTTAAATACTGAAATTGGTTCTTGCTTGTAGCGAGTGCCTACCTACTAATAATTCGATCGATGAAGTCTTTTTTATTTTCTAAATTAGCTGGATGGATATTAAAACTTTAAGTTTAATTTCAAACAAACCATTACATACTATCTATGTGCAGAAAACAAAAGTTATAAACGGTCATTTGTTCCTAATGTTCGAGAACAGCAGACGAAAATATCTTTTGAAGAGTTATCTTATAAAAAAAAAATTGTTTTCGGGTATGTCAGCACTTCTGCTGACTTTCTAATTGTTAGATATTAAGTTCTGATGATTTACTCTTATTGGTAAGAAAGATATGACTATTAGAAAATGTCAGCAATGTAAGATGTTTGGCTGAGCGTCAATAAGGTCGGTTGGGTCACTATAACTACTGCTATACTGCTACTATGTAGGTACTACTACTATAATTAATATAATGACTATAATTTTATGTTAATACTGTTAAGCTATCGTGTGTTACTGAGAAGTATGTGCCCAGAGTGACGGTAGTTGAAGATTCTAAAGAAAGAGAGAAAATCTTAACAAAAAGTAGAATCGGGTTCACAATATTCATGTAAAACGATTTAGAATTGAATAGGTGGAGTCGTCTTTTCCCAGGTCTAAAACACTTCAGAAATATTTTAAAATAGCGGTTATCGAGCTGTTTGTCTAGAAGCGCTTGAAAATTTCAAACTGGATTAAAATTTCTATCTAATTTATCTGTCTGCCGTCGCATATTGATCTATTGTCCATTTTGGTCATTTGCATATCCTGGCTCATATAGGAGGGCGATGGAGTAATGTTTATGTTATTAGGCCCATTGGAAAAATTCAAAAGTTGGGTGATTTTCGAGATAAAGCTTACTCTCTAAAGCTCAATATAATCTTGATTGATCACCAGAGCGGCACCGCGTTTTGGTTCCAATGAAAGCATTTTCATTTAGATATATTTTACCGGATATATTCTACCTATTCAGTAGCTCGACTTTAACGATTTGGTAATGTAATCGACCAATTCTTTTATGTTTCTCTCTGACATATTATGACAGTCATGTCTTTCTTACCATTAAAAGTAAATCCATCCATCCTTTAACCATACCATTGTATTCAATTATAACAAACTTACATTGTACAGAAGTCTATTGCTTTGTTTAGCATACATCAATAGAAGAAAAATTACTATCGCATTGTTATTATTAATAATTTGACCACTTTTATATTTCCAATAAAATAATGGCGCGAAGTTAGCAATTGTATTGACTTATTTTGAAATGACAATATGAATGACACACGATTTTTTATTTTAAATGATAAATTCTACTCAATTTCTACGTTTCGAATGAAGTCATTTAGATGTGCTTTTAAGAGCAAGCCATATTTATCGCTTTATAACTGAGTTGATATCGTAGACACATCCAAAGCAGAGAGCTAAAAGCATCATAAGGAAATTATATAAATTTCCGTTGTCACTGAATAAATAGTAAAGTAAATCTGGTTCTCCATACTTGAAAATAGGGAGTTTATACAAATTTTTTTCAGAAACAGATTTGATAAGCAACCTTGATTTTACGAAGAAATGGAAATTGAAATTCATGTGTTAATTTTTGCTGTTATCAACAAAAGTAATGAGAAACTTTTAAATAAAGAAATATCTCTCATACTGTATTAATAGTCAAATATAAAAAGGTATTGAATGTGTAACGATATTTTTCCATTTTTACAATTCATAGAATCCATTTAGATATAGTCCGCATTGTTTTACCAATCAATGAAATATCAATTAGCAAACTGATGTTTATCGGAATCGCATTACAATTACTATACATGTCAAACATTTGACTAAATGAGGAATAGTTTACGTCGAATTGGCTAAAAGGAAAAAATCAAAGAAATAAAAACAAGTGTTGTTAACTAATATGTAACAAGAATAAGTAAAAATCATTACAACAAAAAGAACAAACTCAACTAACATATTTAAATGTTGCTACTTTTCAAATATGTACTTTATTGTGTGGATTATCCACTTTTCAGTATTCCTTCAGTTTTATGTTGCCTTATAAAAACGTCTCAGCGTCGCAAAACTTGATAAATTATTTTAGATTTTTTCTAATTGCCTTATTAATCTCTTTGGTAACTTCATTTGCTGCTCCTAAAAAATATATTGTACTTCTATTGGTTTGCCTGGGTAGTATCCTACTATTTCAGTTAACAATATAAATATTATGAAATATGAATGTTTATCAGTAGCTTCGAACGCATATAACAATAGTAACATGTAAACAATTTGTAGAAAACAATTAAAATCAAAACGACTAATACAATTTGCTGATCCAATAAAAGTACAATACTGTATTTTCATTAATTGGAAGAGGAACTTGGGATGTTAGAAAGAGGTTAATGTACCTTAGTAGTGGCGTGTGAGCAGGCACCTAAGTTAATGAGCATTTGGACGGCTAGTGGATGACCATGCCAGGCCGCCATCTGGAGAGGACGCATTCCGTACTGAAAGAAATTTGGTTAGTACAGTTAGTAGTAGGTAGTAGTTAGAGTATATTAATTGCATAAAAGCCATATTTTGAATAACTTTCCTCAACAGATCTTGACAATCTTGGTAACATTCACTTTATTAACACCATGAAAAGTTTAAATAGACAAATATATGCTTTATTTTGGTACCAAGACGTCAAAATCATGAGGAATTAAGTGAAGTACTGAAGAAGTACTACTAAGAACTACTTATATTTTTTACTGGTATTAATAGAGGTTACCTTATCTCTAGCTTCGATATCACAGTTAGCTGCAATAAGCATTTCCATTATATCTAAGTTACCCCTAGCCGAAGCCCAGTGTAGGGGTGCTCTTCCATACTGAAAACCGTACAACATATGACTGAAGTGAAATAAATACAACAGTCAGCATGCACTGGTACAATTAATCTAATTTCATATTTCTATTGTTCTTATTTAAAACATCCTGAACGACATCATGATTATTATGAGAAAAACTCTTTAAAAGTTTTTTCCTTATGCCTTCTATGATTTTATACAAATCTGAGAACATATTCAATGTTTTTTGAAGGGATTAATTTCAACATTTAATAGGTTATATCAATGTCTATCTATTACAGATGAAACTTTAGATTTACCACAGAACAATCGATAAGCACACAAAGAATAATAAGTCTTTGTATTTGGATCCACAGACAAGATTCTGGAATAGGAAATATTCAATCACCTTAAAACCTGAAAAGCAGCTAGAACTATGCGAACAGTAGGTTTTTCCTTGGGTACATTTGGATTTCAAGATTAGTTAACCCTTGCAACACTTTAGCTTTGAACGAATAGCAAGAAACCACCCCTAAAATTTAAAAATCAACTAAACATCGGCGAATAATGCTGTATTTTTAGATGTGATTTTGCCATATAAAAAGAACTGGAGGATGACGGAGCATTTTCCATGGCAGAATCGTTTTCTAGGGGTCCAAATACATAGTATGCTAGAGGGCCTCACCACTTTCTTCATATATGTGTGTAATTTTAGTTGGATAATATTTAGAATCGACGTCTACCTCAATAATTAGCCCTTTCATTATTAAAATGAGTGAAATGGTATGATTCCACTGAATTAATATGTCTAAATGTCTAAATAGGACATTTTATTCAAACACAGTGCATTTGGGCTGTTATAATTTTAACTTTGGGTACGTAAAATAATATGCAGTTATGACGAATTTGACAAGCATGTTTGATATATGTAAATGGATTTTAAGAGTTTTAACCTACTAGAATAATGGTACATCCTACATTGGACGTTAGGTTAAGTAAAACAAGTTTAAGTAAGGGCATTTTAAATAAGAAGAACAGGTTTAATTTCTGATTGTATGAACAAAACGGCGATTGTGCATTTTTTATTTATATGTTTAAGTTCTCCTGAGAGGCTATTGCAGACTTAATTATCTAAAAATATTTTCTATTGGTGTGTACGACTACATTATTAAGATGATGTGATTCTCATAGCAACTTTAAAGGTACACTCGTGGTTAATAAATTTTGTATATTATTATTTGCAATACAACATTACTCATATTTTCTGTTAATTGGATGCAACATTGTTAAATAAATTGTGTAGGGTATTTGGTCACAGTCCAGATTTTGAAGTGTAGCATACAATATTTAGAACACATTTTTATATCGCATGAGGCACCTTGTTTATGTTTTATTAAGCAGCAAAGCAATTTCCAATTCGTAAAAAATAAGTTGCTATTTTTTACATTTGTTTTATAGTACCTACGAGATCCCAACTTAGATCGACCTTCACCCATCGAGTTTTCTAATGAAATTTGAATTTTGATAATATAATGTATTAATATACAAAACTTGATTTGGTCGACATCCAATTTCCCTGCACAGCTATTTTTAATAAAAAAATTAAAGTTGCTAATTTTTTTTCATGAATGTAGTTATTGAGTTTTTGGATAAATTTATTACCAATCGAAAGAAATATATATACAATATGCCAAAGTTTGGTCGACATTTTTGTTCCTTGCATAAAACCAGGTGTAAACAGGTAACTTTGAATTGAACTTTAATTTTGAATTAAATCGAATAGAATTTTGAATAGAATTATTACTATACTAATTATTATTATTATAGTAATGCGTATTGATGACGTTTTAACGTTAATGAAATGATAATGGTCTAAGATCCCGACTTCTAATGAAATTAGAATTTTGATAATATAATACATATATACACTTGATTTAGTAATTATAGTACTATTACTATAATTACTTTATTTTTTATTAAAAATAGCTGTGTAGGGAAATTTGAAGTCTACCAAATCAAGTGTATATATGTATTATATTATCAAAATTCTAATTTCATTAGAAGTCGGGATCATAGACTATTATCATTTCATTAACGTTAAAACGTCATCAATACGCATATTTTGTGACATGATGCTTCTTTAAAAAAGCAGAAGATAAATAATAAAAATTATTTCTTTCAGTTTTCGGAATACCTTCTAAAAATAAATACCTTAAATATCTATATTTGTTATTATTAGAAATTGTTCCGTTTTCCTCCATAATATTTTATATAAAATAAAGTAAAATCAATAAATAGCGTATTTTTTAATGTTTACCATGTTCCATTTCATTTTTATTAAAAAAATTAGAATTAAGATCTTTCGTTTACATTTACATAGACAATCCTGCCATGTCTCATTGCGTTGTTAATCTCACAGTATCAACAACATCCAGTAATAATGTAAATGTAGGCACTATACACTGTATTTGATTGTAGACCGGTCAAATTAGTCATAAAAATAGTGGTCAAATAACAAAAATTCCGACAGAGCTAAATTATGGTGAAGATCTTGGGTACACCATTAGAAATAATAATAATAATAATAAGTGTCAAAAGTCCCTATCGATCCAATGTGTGCTAAAAAAGTTATTCGGGATCAAAGGTCAAAATTTGAGGTTTTTTGGATTTTCTTCGAAAACGGTATGTTTTATCAAAAAAGTAGTCCTGACAAAAATTATAGATCTGAAAATTATCTTATACTTTTTTTTCTAAGAACCACCATTCCTGAGAAATGGCGATTCTAAAAGTTGAAGGAGTCACCTTCTACATATGCACATATATGCAACGTATATACATAGTCAGGCACTTAATGCCAGTAAAAATGCCTATTTGTGTCTCTTATATGTATTATATGTACTATTCTGAGAATATACAGTCAAAAGAAACTCAGTCCCTTAGTCAAAATGACACAGATGTCCTTATAATTGAAACAGCAATAGATTAATTTAATTCAACAAATACAACTATTGTAGTTGGTGAAGATGTTGACTTATTAATACTATTCACTGCAAGGACTCCAATTGATAAATTTATATACTTTTTAAAACCTGGAAAGGCTCAACAGCGAACAGAAATATATTCTTCAAAAAGTTTACCTGTTTATCCAAAATGCCAAAACCATATGTTATTTTTACATGCGATAACCGGCTGCGATACTACATCAGCAATGTTCAGAAGGGGTAAAACATCAGTATTAAAATTATTTGGAAAAAATGATTTGATTGATTGCAGAAATTGATTCTTCACCTCAAACAATAATCACAAAAGGAATTCGCTTTCTCCTTGCTGTTAAGGAGCTCCAAAAAAAAATTGATTGTATAGATAAATACAGATATTTAACTTCTGTAAAAAATACACGAAACAAGAAACACGTACAACTATCTTCTCTTCCTCCAACATCGGCTTCTGCTAATCAACACTTGTATCAAGTATACTATCAAGTTCAGACATGGCTAGGCAATCAACTGAACCCAGAAGACGGGTTGGAAATTAACAGATAATACTTTGGAACCAATTCAAACTTTACTTCGACCTGCTCTAGAAAAACTCCTAAACACTATTTTTTGCAATTGCAAAAAAGTTGTAGTGCTAAATATGGCTGTAGAAGAGTAGGGTTACTGTGTTCTCCAGCGTGTACTAATTGCCAAAGCCAGTCTTGCTCAAATGTCCAATTGAATACAACAGACGAAGATTCATGTGATTTCGATGAAGAGACAGCTGATTCATCTTCATTTGAACAATTTATGAACATCCAGCAAAAGAAGAGGAAGAAGAAGAAATCGAAGAAGACATGACTGTTGAAGTCGACTTTGTAGAGTATGAATTAGATTAAAATATCAAAAGAAATCAGAACTACAGTTAAAGTCAATTACCAATATCAATAGTAATAGGCATCATACAATTAAAAGAGTATTGTCCCTGAAAATTCCGTCATAACAGTTCGTGGAGTAGACCTACCGGGGAAACCACCTTCTATTATTAGAATCGCAATATCTCGGGAATGGTGATTCTTAAAAAAAAAAGTATAAGGACCATTTTTGTAGATAATTTTGAGGTCTATAATTTTTGCTAAGGCTACTTTTTTGATAAAACATACCGTTTTCTAAAAATATCCAAAAAACCTCAAATTTTGACTTTTGACCCCGAATAACTTTTTTAGCACACAATGGATCGATGGGGACTTTTGACACTTTATTTCTAATGGTGTACCCAAGGTCTCCACACCAAAATTTAGCTCTGTAGGAATTTTCGTTATTTGAAATGTCTATTTTGACCGGGCTATTGCGACGAAATGAAATTGATTCACTCTATTGACAAATTGTAAGTTAAAGTATATATCTATCGAAGTCTATAGTCTCTTATGTATATTACTTTTTTATTATAATATTAATGAGGACAAATGTTAATTTTATTGAAAAACTTCAACACACAACATTATTACGAACGATCTGATACCACTTTTAGAAAACTACCAAATTATAATTTGTAGTATGTACTTACTGTGAAGAGTAAATAAATATTCTTAACGTTTAATCATAGGCTCCTTTGTACATTTGTTTCTACAACTAATTGTGAAAGAAAAATATCTCACAAATTACGTCCCTCAACGTGATAAGTCGAAATGTTGTACCCCTTTTTGCGTGCATGTCCAATAATTGACCGAGAAATATTAAGAAATATTGCAAAATCATAAATAACGTCCAGAAATGCTTTGAATGATTTATTTTTCTTTGCGTTGGTGCTTACAGTTCTCTTTAAACTTTTAAACTGTCACCAGTGTAACCTTTTCCGTTCGCTAACGACACCATATTAAATATGTAAAAGGTCCTCGGTAAAATGCACCTGTGAACCTTCACCTTACGAGTAGCGGCAAGCGGATGTGTCGTCGTTCGTTAGCAATTACATTAAAATCTGAACTGCGTAGAAGAATCGATGGTAGCAGAAAGAAAAACACTTGGAGTGAGGTTTTACATAATGTATAAGGACAGTGTGGGACATTG